ACTCTATCTTTGTCGTAGTTGATCGCTTTTCTAAAATGGCGCATTTTCTACCTTGTGCCAAAAATACCGATGCTTCTCATGTGGCCAAATTATTTTTTAAGGACGTAGTTCGTTTGCATGGCCTCCCTGTCTCTATTGTTTCTGATCATGATGTCAAATTTGTTAGTTATTTTTGGAAAACTTTGTGGAAGCTTTTCGGGACTACTTTGAAGTTTTCCTCCGCTTTCCATCCCCAAACGGATGGACAAACGGAGGTGGTTAATCGCAGTCTTGGAAATTTACTTCGCTGTTTAGTTGGGGACAAGCCTGGTAATTGGGATCTCTTGTTGCCTGTGGCTGAGTTTGCTTATAACAACTCAGTTAATCGAAGCACCGGTAAAAGTCCTTTTGAGGTTGTTCACGAGTTTTCTCCCCGATCACCTGTGGATCTAGTTGCTCTTCCTATGGCTGCCCGCGCCTCCGACTCTGCTACGTCATTTGCTGAACATATTAGACAACTGCATGATGACGTCCGTCGGCAAATAGCTATGCACACCGACAGTTATCAACTGGCAGCTAATGCTCATCGTCGTCACCAGGAGTTTCAGCAGGGGGATTTTGTTATGGTGCGGATCTGTCCTGAGCGTTTTCCTAAGCAATCTTTTAAAAAGCTTCATGCTCGTTCGATGGGTCCTTATCGTGTCCTTAGGAAGCTTGGGTCCAATGCTTATTTGATTGAGTTACCTGACACGATGCAGATCAGTCCCATTTTTAATGTTTCTGACTTATCTCCTTATCGGGGAACCTTTTCTCCACCTCTGTCGATGGATGTTACTCAGAGTTCCATTCCTCCTATGGCACCACGACTTCCGTCCACTATTTCTGCCCCTACAGAGCAGATTGCTGATGTTTTGGATCATGAAGTTGTGACTTCGTCTACTGGAGGATTGACCCGTTATCTGGTTCGTTGGGTGGGAAAGCCTGCTACTGAGGATACTTGGATTACAGAAGCTGAATTTCGCGAGTTGGATTCCAGTCTTTTGCACCATTATCAGGATGCTCTTAAGGATCTTGATTTGGCAGCATCCCGTCCTCCTATCATCCATACTTACAAACGTCGTCGTTGTCCTTAATATTGGCTTACTCGCCTGTGTCGAGTTCTTTTCAGTAGGGGAGAATGATGCAGAATGCATCTCCTAATTCTATTTGGATTAGCTTTCCTTTTATTAGTTTTCCTATTTTAGTTAAGAATTCCCTGTTGTTAAAGGATTTCTTATTAGTTAAATTGCTTTCCTAATGTTTCAAAGTTTGTCTCTATAAATAGAGCAGATTGTAATCTTTTAATTGAACTTTGATGAATGAAAAAATCTCCTTACTAGAACTCCCTGATTTCTTTCCCTTTCCTTTCGTCTCTTCGACCCCTAATTCGTCTCCTCGATCTTTTACTTCCTCTCGGTCCCATCACACCCTTGCTCACCCTAATACTACCGCAGTTCTACATCAATGTGTCTGGTGGGAACCGTGACTGAGGAGTATTGTTTTGTTTCCTGACAAATAAGTTTCCATTTGTCGGTTGAGCTGATGGTGAAGAACCAGTTTTCACTTGAGCTCTACGCTTCATGTAATACGTAGAGCGCTTTGCTTGGTCTGCCATCACGCTTACTGCTTCCCCGATCAACTTAAAAGCAGCCTCCGCACCAGCAGACTTATTCTTATCAGGATGAAGTAACAAGGCCAGCTTCCCGTATTGTTTCTTGATGGTTACGTTACATCATCAGCGTCCGATTTTTTTATCTGAAGAATTATATACCATTCCATTTCAAATCCACCTATTTTGTTCTCCGTTGAACGGTGAACTTCACAGACTGTAAGTAATTTATCAATGCTCTCAAGCCCAGGGAAGAGTCGTTGTGCCTTTTGAGCCATCTTCCTTGCTCCTGTGAAATCATTGTTTTGGCATTTTTACATCGGATAGTTGCAGTGCCTTAAACGCTTCCTCTTTGTTGCACTCCATGACTGATTTAGAATCAAAACAAATACAATCTATGAGGACAAATACAATCTATGAGGACACAATCTATGAGGACCAAAGCAGCAAATATAATATTAATGGAGAAAAATGGAAACTCCCCAGATTTTCAAAGAAACAGAAGCCTAAAGTGAACCCCAAAAGCATAATTTTTGTCCCATAAAGCATCCAAGCCTCCCTTCTAAAATCTTCTTAATTTACCATCCCAAAATCACTGTGCCTTTCACAAAAAAAAGAGCTCACAAAACCAACGGAAACAACCCTAAGCACAACGAAATACAGACAATGAAGAAACAACTGGTCTTTGGGAGAAAGACAAACGTTAGGTCTTCTCCTTTCACTCGAGTTACAAGTGTTTAGCCTTTTAAAATCACAGAAAATGGCTGGAGCAAAGAAATGTCCCTATATTCCTCCTATCGACACTAGAGGTTGCTAGGGTTTCCGCTGAGAGAGAGAGAGCTTACTGGTGATTGTAGATTGCTAGGGTTTCCGCTGAGAGAGAGGCAGCGAATGTGAGAGGAACATTTGGAGGCAGAGCGCGTTAGAGTGAGTAGACTTCATATGGTAGGAAAGAATTCTTCATATGGTAGGAAAGAATTCTTTCCTACCATATGAAGTCTACTCACTCTAACGCGCTCTGCCTCCAAATGTTCCTCTCACATTCGCTTCGTCTCACATTGTACAATATGAAGTCTACCATATGAACATTTGGAGGCAAAGCGTGTTAGAGTGAGTGGACTTCATATGGTAGAGTGAGTAGACTTCATATTGTACAATGGCATGTAATGTTTCTTCTCGTGTTTCAAAACTTTCAAGCACACTAAAAATTTTCTCGTAATGTAAAGAGGAAGATTCCCACACTAGTATCTTCATATAATCCTCCACATGAAGAGAACTGCAATCACATATTCTAACACAGCGGAGAGAGAGGGTGTGTACTGGTGAGGTGGGGGGGGGGGGGGGGTGTCAGTGGGGAGGAGTCTCGAGTTTTCCATGAAATTCCATTTTTGGGTTTCATTCTCCTTAAGTAAATGAATAGTTATAAATATAAAATATTTACGTAAATAGAAAATACGTGGACAAGGTGATGCTCTCAAGAGGTGGAAGCGGTATTTACCCTTTTTTATAAATACGTACATTCATCTATGATGCACATATTTAGAGTTGGGTAATGTTAAGAAGACCAACTATTTAAATTAAATTTTGTAAATCATATGATGTGGTAGTTTATATGGGCTCGTTTATGTATTTTTTGCAGGTAGCATTTTAAATTCTTTTTTATAATACACTTGCATTTTTAATAAGGATTGGTTCCAAAAACACTCTCATCAATAATGCTTTAAGTCATTTTAAAAGTGCTTCCACACAAATCTAGCTTATATATACATGTTTTCTATTTCCTTTGCAACACTACCATAAAAAAATGTTTGATGCTTTTTTATTTTCTTCCATAAAATCATGAAAAGTGTGTTCTTTGACTCAAATTTCTTGCCTACCAAAGTCATGTAGATTGCAATAAGAGTTATCTCTTTTGCATTTTTGTGCCTATATATATGAAGCTAATAGACTTTGTGCTTATTTACTGTCTCTCTTTTTGCATTTCATTGCTCTTAGAAAGGTTTGTGCTTTGTTTCCCTTTTCCTTTTTCTATTTTCTCCTTTTAATTTGTTTGTCTTGCTCATTTTTTTGCTTAATTCCTTTAAATATTTTTTTTCTTTCTTCTTTTGCATTGTTTAATTAACAATATATTATAATTGTGAGAACTGTGAGTTCATAGCTAACATCACGGAACACTTCACCAACCACAATGGACTCAAGCATGTCAATGTGGAAAATTATAGGTCTATATTCGAACAACTTTTTTATTTCAAGGTGGGATAGTAGCATATGCCTATGTCTCACACAAAAAAGAATAGGAAAAGTTGTGCGGCAGTAATTTGTACTACATGGAATATGAGCACAAAGGTAGCAGTTGTGCTCCTTGTCAGATTCCATGTAATACATATTATAGCAGTTATTGAAGAACTTTCCTCCTTTTTTGTGTGAGACAAGGGCATTTGCTACTATCCCATCTTTAAAATTAAAAAGTTGTTTGCATACGTAGCACATGTATTTTTCTACGCTTTAGTCCGTAGTGCTTAGTTAAGTCTTCCTGGGTGGTAGCTATGAGGTCACATTTTTTGCAATTAAAATATATTTATAATTCAACATTGCAAAAGTTTAAAAAAATTAAAAGAAATTAAGCAAGACAAACAAATTGAAAAGAAAAAATAGAAAAAAGAAAAATGTAAAAGAGCATAAACCATTTTAACCAGCGCAATGAAATGAAAAAAGAAAATATGTAGACAGCAATAAGCACCGAGTCTATTACGTTATAAAGTCAACCTAAGACTAAGCATTTTGGTGGGAAAAATTGGCAGTGACTAAATCCAAATGCAAAAGAGCTAGATGACTCTTATTGCAATATGCATGATTTTGGGAAGTAAGAAATATATATGGTTTCCGTTGCATTGCATGAACAAATTATGAATTTGTATTTTTTGCAATTAAAATACATTTATAATTTGTTCATGCAGTGAAACAGAGAGCATATTTCTTGCCTTCCAAAGTCATGCAGATTGCAATACAAGTCATCTAGCTCTTTTGCATTTGGATGTAGTCATATACCAATTTTCCCCACCAAAATGGTTGGCTTTATATGTATCTACCTAATAGACTTGGTGCTTATTGTTTCTCCATATTTTCTTTTTGCATTTCATTGTGCTAGTGGACATTGAAATCTCAAACAGAAGAGACCAGAATGGACTTCAAACATTCTCTAGAAGTTTTAGGGGTTTCGCTACAGAAAAAAAAATCCTTTCTTGTCGAAGGACACTTGTCGCCAAATATTTACAGTCTGGCGTAGACACGACAAGTTTCGAACTTCATGTTCACAGAAGTACTTGACATCCCATAGGCGAGATAATTGAAACTTTTATTGGTACATCCCATAGGCGAGATAATTGAAACTTTTATTGGTACAACAGGATAAGTGAATGGCTACTTGCCAAAAAGTCCAAATCGAAATGAATTAACCACAGCTGGAAAAGTTCAGGATTGATCGGGAACGAGAGACTTGAGACACGTTCCTCATGTATTTCTTGCCAACACATCCCTGATCAGATGCTTTGGTGCTGCATTAGTGAACAATGATAGAAAAGGAGCATGATAAGATAACGGTTGAAAGGGCGGGTAATATGCAGGAAGATTTTACGGAGAAAGTTACAAAATTTTTAAGCCTTTCATGTTGAACTTACCAGGTGAACCAGAGAACTTTTCAACCTGTACAAATGCTTGATTGAGGAACATTTCTGTCCCGAAAGCAACGGCTGCTCCACACTCTTGTGCTTCTTGTAAGAGTCTTGTCCATGTAGGTGTATAAATGGCATCAAACACTAAAGAATAGTTCTTCAAAGCGTTCTGTCAAAAGGAGCAAAGATATGTCAAACAATAAAGAGATTTGTGCGACAATCTTAATCATAATGTGCCGCTACATAATGGTCACACAAATCCAAGAAAGCATAATCTTTTTATCAAATTGATCACTTCACATGTTATCCGGACAAACCTTGGATAACGGTGTTTGATCAATTCTTGGTTCCATTCCAACCGATGTGGCGTTTGCAAGAACCATTCCATCCTCTGGATGGAAAGTTTCCAATGCCGCAAGAGTAATAGCTTCTCCTCCAACTTTATTTGCAAGTGCCTTGGCTTTGTCTAGCATTCAGAAGAAAAAAAAGAAGGAATTCGCTAAGAGATAGGACGGTCAATTCAAGCTGACAAGGAGAGAATGGGAGAGAATGAATTTAATTAACCTTTACAACATGTTTCGGTTTCCATTTTTTCTTAATTTCCATCATTTTAAACATTTAACTCATTACGGATTAAGAGTTTAAGACCAATCACTTGGCTGTCAGAGTAAAAGCAGAAGATTCTCACCATACGTGCGATTGGCAACTACCACTCTTGCTCCCTTTTGTTTTCCGCCATATGCAAGTGCTGTTCCAGCAGCACCAGCTCCCATGACCACGAATAATTTACCAGCTAACGGGGAACCAGATCCATTACTTGAACCATTCAACGCTGCGCAGAAAGTTATAGCGGTTGTTCAACACTAAAATAGCTCGGTCCATATTTTTTTAAATGGTTAGTACATGAATATTCTATAGCTTGTGAAATGCAAAGCAACCTCGCAGTCCTTCCTCAATTGCTGCAGTTGCTCCTAGATAGTCAACATTGTAGCCTTTTAATCTCCCATCAGCCGGGTTCCTGATCATGCAATTAATAGCTCCTATTTCCTGTAAAATGATTTTACTGAGAAAAATACAACTGCTAGAAGGCTCAATGATCTTGCCTAGAGAAATTTAATGTCAAAATATTGAAAGGAGTCGGGATGGGATGCTATGACAAAATGTCCGAAAGATATGAAAGAAATAAGGTACCTTGGCATGTGGATCAATTTCATCGCAGCACTTCAATCCTGCCTCCTTGTGAGGAATTGTACAACTATTACATACAAAAGTTATTTCCAGAATCAAAAGTATGCTATTCTGAAGCTTGAAGCTTCTGAGATCAGATTTTACCTGTATCCAGCGAAATCCGGTGAGTTGTAGGTATCAATAAAATTTGCAACGTTATCAACCAACAAAGGCAGATAAATTCCATTGAAATTGATAGATTTGAATGCTGCATTGTAAAGAAGAGGGCAATTGCTGTGACGAATAGGATTTCCTATCACACCATGTACTTTGGTATCGGCTCCTATAAGTCTGAAATTGTATAAGTCCAATAGATCTCTTACGGTGGGCTGGCCAGGGGCTGATACTACTCCAGCCTCTATCGTACCAAATGTGAGGAATGCACCATACTTTGCACTAAGAACGCGTGAGATCAAACCCTTCTCGCCCATAACAAGTGCTATCATTGGGACCTAGAGTATCAGTTGAAATGTCATTCACACATTGCAGAAGCTGCCGTATAATGAGATTAACTCAAAATCAGATCAACGCGCTTGAGTCACTTACCTGAGAATGCACTAATACTTGAAATACACGTGCAGAGTCGGTGATGTCTAAGGCAGTTGTTGCGATCTTAACTATGTCAGCTCCCGTAGCTTGTATCCTTGCAACAAGATCACCTATTTCCTCAGAGGACGGAGTTTTCTCATAGTTGTGTGACGAAACAATGATTTTGACCTTTTCCGGCTTCTTCCCTTGAATGGAATTGTAGAACTCATCGGCCACCTTCAAAACAGAAAAACTCTAGTCAGTAAAATCGGAAGAAGATAAAGCTTTCTATAGAAACTTTTCAACGATACGTGAGATTCGTACCTTAAGTTCAACATCGATAAAATCCGCTCCCAATTCCATGGCTACACGCAGTGCATCTTGTCGCTGTTTGTCGTCGCCCTTATACTGTCCACCTTCCCATGATGGCCTACAAGGTAGATGATGCGTAAGAAATGTTGCAAGACTACACTTAACAGAAACACTACACTGCCAAACTGAATTCGATAAACACGAAAACATTTAAATAGCAACAAGGCCATTTTGAACATGAAGCGACTAAAACAACATAAACAAAGCAATCAATCAAACTGCTCGTAGCCCTTAATCTAACGCGTTTGCTCGGCACCGAAAAACTCATTACTTGAGACTCTCGGCAGACATTATTCGATCCCATACGCATAAAAGGCAATGCAATCGTTATCAAATTCTTAAAATCCGGGAACTGTGACTAACTAGTAATGTGAATAGATTGTATCAAACTAAGTGTGTGTTTGTTACATTAGACTATTTCGAATTGAACTAGCTTCAAGAACTAAAAATTGATTTGACATGAACTAAATAGTATAAGAATAATAGAGCATTTAGTTCAATTAAGAAACTAAATTATTTTTGAGATTCAAATACTTTTTAGCCATTTTCTTTCTTTCCACCTTTTCTTTTCTCTTTCTTTTTCTTTCTTTTTCTTTCCACAGTCTCTCCCTTTCTCTACCTCTCCTTTAATCAACCTTTTCACTCTCTCTCTCCTCCCTCGATATCTCCTCCCTTTCTCTACCTTTCCTTTTCTCCACCTTCTCACTCTCTCTCTCCTCCCTCGATTTTGCGTCTTTCATCACCATTTTCTTTTCTTTTCCTTTTCTTTTCTTTTTTTTGTTGGTGAACTTCTTTTGCTTTTCTTTATGATTCCCCTAAACTATTGCTGCCACTTCAAATCCCAAGGCAAGTTAAAATTGTGCAAAAGTCTTCGTCCTTTCGGGATCCATCGCCATGGACTTCGCCGCCGCTCTCTATTTCTCGCGCCTTCTCTGATTTTTTTCGAAATTTTTTGAGAAAAAAAGAAGAATTTTTGTATTGGATTATTGTTGTTGTTATTGTTTTACTTTTTTTTTTATTTCAAATTTTGGGAGTTGAAGTATGAGATTGAGGCGGTGGGTGGGGCTGGGTTTCAGATCTGGGCATGGGTGGTCAGATGAAGTTGCAGAGAAGTATGCTTGCAGACGACGCAGCATGCAAACGACGCAGGTTTGGAGACGGAATTAGTAATCTCATACGTTTCTCCGGGGGGTCCCACTAAGATCACCTAGCAAAGGACTTATTTGACACGAATCCGACTTAGTTTCATTAAAGTTAGTCCTTTTTCGCACAAAACAAGGACTAGTAATCCCAGCTAGTGAAGACTAGTGGGGGCAAACAAGCCTGCCCTATGTGATAAACCAATATATTCAACAATTACCTGTAAGTGACAAGGGTGGGCAAGGGACTTTGGTTAATCAACGCGCCGAGATCTTGTCTTGGATTGAAGTTCTTCAAGAAATCCACCCGAATTTCAACGAGATCAGCGCCAACTTCCTTTGCCTTCCCCATTTGGACCAGCATCTGATCAACTGATTCCGCCATCACCGGCGCACATATCAGTGTCGAATTTCTTCGACTTCCATCCATGATATGAAGATCCGAAGCAGCCAACTGAAATCTCACCAAACAAATCAAACAAAAATGAGTATACAATTCAAAGCAGGAAAGTAAAATCAAGCTTAAACACCTACTTACTAAATTTCTTCCCCTGAATTTTCTTCGAAAACAGGGGAGAAGAACCAAATGGCATCAGATTTTTCATACATTTGAAGCAAAAATGAACTGAATTTTTTGGTTAGCAATGAAAACAAATAAAAAGTTAAAAACCCACTAAACCCAATACCCCAAATCTTCTGTTTCATTTTCCCTTTCCCTCCATTTTCTCAGCAACCAAACAAAAGGGTCGGATTATTTACCAGTTCGGTCCCCAGAAAACCAAGAATCAAACAAGTAGCATTCAAATCCGAAAAATACTAATCACGATCCTCAGTGCCTCTTAACAACAAAACAGAACACGGAGAGGGAGAGAGAGGGAGATAAAACAGAGTAGAGAGAGAACTTGGGTGCAGAAAGAGAAAGATTACCGGAAGGGTGTCGAGCGTCATTGTCGGTCGATTGCGTGAAGCTTGGAGGTTCAAAGCTGGCGACCAATGTCAGCAAAATAAACTCCTTTTCTATACAGACTAGCGAGAGAAAAAGAGATGAGAGAGAGAAAGTGAGGTTGGTGGTTGGGGTTAGGTGGAAATATATAGAAACAGGACAGAACAACGCTATATTTTCCGATCCTGCAAAGTAAAAAACGGAGGATTTTCAATCTGTAAATGGCAGTTAATTAATCTTCTATCAGCTTTTGCATTTGTGTTAATGAATTTTTTACCGACACAAACTAACTTTTGAAAGTTTGGAATCGGTAGTTCATCGACAGAGGGGCAGAGGAGCAAAGCAGCAACCGCGAAGGTAGTAGGTAGACGAAGCAAGTTGGAATTATCAAGCTGGCCTTCTTACTTGTCCGTCTGGGGATGGACCCTATTTGGATTTTTGCGCACTTCTGATAAGTCTTCAGATGTCTGGATTTTCTTTTAATTTTTTTTACTTTATAGTTGTCAATTCGATCTTGACTTGTTCACTTTTTTTTTATTAAGTCTACAAATTATTCCGATTTAAAGATTATTTAATTATTCATATGAATCAACAAATTGACAATCAATTATTAAAATATTATTTGTTAGCATAATTACAATCGTCGATTTGTTCGACATATATAGAAGTATGCTAGGAATATGACCCGATATATGAAGCGTCATAATATAAGGGTTAAACTATCAATTTGCCATTTGAACTATCACTCAACTTTCGATTTCCTTCCTGAACTTTTTAATTGGAAAATTAAGGACTTAAACTAATTTTTTTGGCCCATTTTCTTCCTACCATTAGTTTTTAAGAAATTTTATCCAAATTAATGTTAACTCTTATCATGTGCACACCATGTAACTCTCTTTTGTGGAGAAAAGCGTCACTTCACTAGACCTTTAAACACAAAAGCTATAGAATCACACATATTTGCATAGGTTTATATTTTAGAATGTAATGTTTTCAATTATTTTAAAGAATGAAGCGACCGAACTACCCACACTTGTTATGCACATGCTTCCATTTAACAGAAATTTGGATAGAATGAATGAAAAATTAACAGCAGGAGTAAAGTGGCCAAAAAAAATTAGTTTAAGTCCTTCATTTTCCAATTAAAAAGTTCAGAGAGGAAATCAAAAGTTAGGTAATAGTTAAGAGGGCTTATAGACAGTTTACTCTAATATAAGTGGTTAGATATTAAAAAAAAAAAAAAAAATCAAACTACTTATAATATAACACTTTATATATCAGGATGTATTCTTAACATACGGAAAAAAATCTTCAAGAGTTGTCTATTGGAAACTGTAAAAGGTCAGGGTTTCCCATTTGCCCCAACCACCTGTTATTTTGCCTCTCCCTTGCAAGTCCTGGAGCGGGGGTATATTGGCTGTATCTGCATCTGTTTTTGCAGTTTGCAGAGTAACTGTGCAAATAAAAAAAAACAAAAATAAAAACAGCTCACGTTTTCGAGTTTTTTATTTTTGTGTGTTTGTATTTTATAAGGCGGGAACTTTTTTTCATAGATATCCGTACAAAACATGTTTTATCTGGTAGAAATTTTGAGTAAAAATTTCTTTATCCTATATTGATCATTCTCAAAAGATTTCCTCACTTTATAAGACTTTATTCTTTATAAAAAGTTATTAGAATGATATGCCTTGGAGACTAAAATTAAGCTTACCCTTAGGGTTGGACTTTGTGATGTACTAATTAATTGGTAATTATAATTACTTACATATTAATTATCTAAGGCCTTATGATTAATTATATATTAAGGCTCATCTTTTGATAATTAATTAATTAATTTAGAATTTAATTAATTAATTAATTTTTACCAACAGACTCATCTTTTCAGAAGTCTGAAGAGAAAAATGTAGAAAGAAAACACCCCTCTGAGAAGATGTTTCCCAACAGATGCATCCCTTCCTCATACCTGTTGCGAATATGCATAATCATATTATATATACATCCATCTGCATGATATTTAGAATACAGAACAAACAATTCTTCTTCTATAATCTAAAACATCCTTACTGAGAGAACCACATAGAAATTTGCCAGAAGTCAATTTTCCCGGTGCTGGAATTCTGACTTGATCGTTGAATCATGGTGAAGTAGACGTCCGTAGAACTACAAGCACTGAGTAGTGATGAAATTTCTATTTCAAGGACATTGCAGTATGCAAGCCTCAATCTTCAATATTATTTCAATGTTCATATTCTGTTAATTTCCTATTTGCATTTATTATTTATCAGCATATATAATTTTATCACAGATTATTGACATATATCAAACATTGTCTACTAATGTTTCATATGTATTTTTCTTGGTCAACAATGTTTTATACGTGTATGGTTCTGAATCCTGCATGTTGCATGTGATTTCACGGGAGTCCATGCTCTTCATCCGATGGAGTTGGTCCACAACCACCTTATGGATCTTGACTCTCGAGTGACTGGGATGACAAAGTAGTCAAGTTGTACCTGTGTTTCTTTAAATGTAGAGGTTAGGTTTGGAATTTAAATTAAGTGGATAAAAGCATTTTGTTGAGAGTATTATTCTTATATCGAGAAAGAATGGATGTTGTATGTGTTTACAAATAGTTGTTACTCTTTATATTACCAATTGATTTTATGATAGAATAGGATTGTCTTTAGCAACTTTGTCAAATGGGATTTATTAAGTGTACACATAAATCAGGTTAAAATGCTTTAGCTTCTTTTGGGGTAGATAGTTATGCTTATTACTGGTGACCTATAATTGCAGATTTTGTAACCTCTGCTCATGCTCATGACAATTCGTTTTGTCTTTATTACCGTTTTCATGTATCGTTTTTGTCTTTGTGGTTCTTGGCATAGTCCCCAATATGTATCCTTTTCGTTTACTTTCTTTTATTATTAAAAAAAAATAGTGGAAAAGGGATGGGTGAGGGGTTCTGGTGGTAATGATCCTCACCCATTCGAGGGCGAGTAGGTACCTGGCATGCGACCATGCCGAAGAGCTAACCTCATCTAATCTTTCTTTAAAGTTATAATAATTATAGTCGTTGGATAAAAATTCAACGGTCCACAATGTTTGATCAGGAGGATCCTCTCCATTGGCTTAGGAGAGGATCCCAATCCTTTCTTGAGCTTTCCAGATGGTCAGTCCATTTTGTTGGCCCCTCCCTTGCCATTCAAACTTTTCTTGAGCTTTCCAAAAGGGAGATGGATTGTTTGCTCTCCCCTTCCCATACCCTCTCCATGCCCTCCTACTTTGTGCGGTTACGGATAAGCCACGTCAATATTTTATATTAATTTTTTTATAAAAATAATAAGATAAAAAGCAAATGTTGATGTGGCTTAACCGTAACCGCATAAAACATGAAGGTATGGGGAGGACATGGGGAGGGGAGGGCAAACAATCATATCCTTAATATGCAATTGATTTGATGTGTAAAGAGAAAACAAAGCATAAGAACGTGTGTTACTTGACCTCCCCATATCATTATTGGACATTAGTACTCGTATTCTGGATTGATTTGTGTATGACTCGTATCCACGATGTATCTTTACTATATTGATGATATAACGACAACACATTATATATGATCACTATAATAAAGTTATATTTTCAATACACTATCTACCAGGTCATGCGCACTACTTAGGTGCGTAGGTGAGCAAACATCTATTATTGTTGTATTTGATTTTTTTGGTTGAGCCTCAACTTTGCACTAATCAGCGCAACTAGTGTTGGTTAATTTGATCCTTTTATGAAAGTTCTTAAGTATCATTTTATCATACAAACTTCGTAATTAAGGAAATCTTTCATTCTTTTTGTAATAATATAAACTAATAGAAACAATGTTTAGAAAAATTTGTTCGATTAGAATATTGATTAGCCATCTATATGTGACGAACAAATAAATGGTTATAATAACATGTAGCCCACATGATGAACCATCTATTTCTTTAATTAGATAAAATAAAGAGAATGATCGATTTTGGTTGTGATGTTTGTACTATCGTAAAGTGTCCTAACTAGATAACCTTCCTCGTCAGCCGCTAGGATAGTATGATTTGCGACATTTTTCAGCTGGGACAACTGAAAAGTTTTCGTTACCTCTAACTATAAGTAACAAGAGGGTAGGCAAACTGCTTAATAAGAATTTCGAGATCACCCTGAGAATTGAAGTTTCTCAAACAGTCAAGCCTGATTGCCACAATATCTGCTCCGATTTCCTTAGCCTTGTCTCATTCAGCATTTGGTCCACCGTGGTTCCCATTTGCAGTGTACACAGCGAGAAATTTTTCAGTGTGACAGGCACACGAGGTAGTACATCGCATATCACTATGCAAATGGTGAGATATGTGTTTTAAAAGTTAATAACTTAAAAAATAAAATTTCTCATCACTTACATAAAAACACGTGGTATACCATCCGTATTCCCGTCACAATGAAAATTTTTCCGTACTTAGCAGCGTAGGACTGCTCTGAAATCCGCCATTGCTAGTGTCAAGATCCACGCCGTAAACTGAAATCATAAACGCCAACGCAACACAAGAATAACACGTTAGTTCATCGAACACAAATGCTACATATGAAGAGGTACTATCATTTCAAATGCTACAATTGCAGGGAAAGAAAACAATTTCTGATAAGGCACCTTTACTTCACCTGGACATCCAATAGCGCTTCTTCTTAAACAGTTAAACCGAGAACTCCTCAGTGTATATATATTTAATAATTATCAAGCTTATTTTTTCTCATAGGATAATGTAATAAACAACCTAATAGCTGAAGGTTAGGAAGACTCATAGAAGCATTTTAGCAGACATTTTTTGGCCACCATTGTGTTGTTCATCAACTTTATAAATGGAACGCAAAATACGTTGTATGGAATAAGAGTTTAAAATCCGTCCTTAACCATTAGGCCTCCTCATAGTGATTTTTTTTCGAGCGGTTGTTAAATATCCTCGTTGATGATGAAAACATTCCATTGCAAATTTAACAAATACTACTATCATTTGACAAAAGTAAAAAATAAAAAATCAATCTTGCGTGCTCCCCAACTATTCGAGTGTTGACGAACACATACAAAATCGACTAAAGCGAAGTTTCACTTTGAAATCCATATTAAATCAAGAATCGTAACAACTTATCTTACGAATTGATCCCACTTGCATTCTTTTTTCCTCATAAATCATATTTAAACATGAGAGTTCAATAAAATTAAATATTAAAAAAAATATCCCCATATTTAATTATTTATGGTGCTTCGGTGTCTATAATAATGAAATAAAATATCATCATATTTTGGAAATTAGGGGTCAGACAAGTGGGTTAGAACATTGTTTTCCTCCCTCATGACACCCAAATTTGAATTTAGGGGTCTTAACGAAACATTTTTGGTACTGTTCACTTTTAACGTTAAGGACATTTTTACTCTAAAAAGTCATTCATGCTACTATTCACTTACAATACATTTTTGTCATTTTGGTTAAAACTCAAAGTTTTCAAACTCTTTTCATTAGTTTTTCTTTGAATTTAGTGTTGGACATCGGTGGTATAAAAAAAAAAAATACTATCCTCATATTTAAGCTTTAAAGTAGGACATGGATCCTCTTTGGATCCATGCATCCTAATCCTAGGGTTCCACCAATCCGGACCATTGAAATTTGATCAAACGGCTAAAGTTATTATAGCTTTTAAAATGAGTCTCTGTTTGTAGCCGTTGGATTAAATTTCAATTACCCGGATTGGTGGATCCCTAGGATTAGAATGCATGGATCCGAAGATGATCCATGTCCTTTAAAGTACACAGAAATTGATTTAAATAACATTGTAAACTTTACAAAAATATGTGCAGAAATCAAGTGTGTATTTCGGGGCAAACGTTCCAAAAGGGGTTGCTGCTAAGTTGGGTAGTATTCTTGGTATGCTAGTGGTGGATAATCTGGACACTTATTTGGGTGTTCCTGCCATTTGGGGTCGTTCGAAGAAACGTGGCCTTACTTATGTGAAGGGGAGCATTTTGGGGAAGCTCCAAAGGTGGAAACAGAGCACTTTGTCAAGAGAGGGAAGATAAGTTTTGATTAAGGTTATGGTCCAGGCTATTCTCGCCTATCCTATGAGTATTTTCAAATTTCATGCGGTTATTTGTCAGGAATTAGATGCAATGGTTGCTAGCTTTTGGTGGGGAAGTAAAAGGGGGATGCGGAAGATTCATTGGGTGTCAAAGGAGGTCTTAGGTCTTCCTAAGGATTTGGGTGGCTTGGGCTTCAGAAAATTTCAAGAATTCAATGATGCTTTACTTTCCCAACAGTGTTGGCGGTTAATTTCTGAACCGGATTTGTTGTGGGCTCGAGTTATCAAGGCCCGTTACTTCCCGAACTGTTCGTTTTGGGAGGCCAAAAAAGTGGGCAGGGCTTCATGGGCTTGGACCAGTCTCCTCACGGTCACGGGTGGGGATTTGCTTCAAAGTGGTCCACATTGGCAGATAATGTGGGGGGGGGGGATGTGGTGGGGGTGAGGGGGTGTGTGTTTATGTGGATAGGTGGCTGCCATCTTTACCTTCAGGGCACCCCGTGCCGCTTGGAGAGGTAGTGGTCACTACAAATTTGCGTGTTAGCTCTCCAATTGACCCATCTTCCCGTGAGTGGGATTTTGGCTTTCTGCAACCTTTTATTTCAGTGGTGGATCAAGAGGCTATTAAAGATACGCCTATGGGAGACCCCAAGGAGGAATGATCGTTTAGTTTGGGCTGCTAGCAGGAATGGTAGGTATTCGGTTAAGTCGGGATACCGGTGGATTCAATCAAGGTCCTTAGATTCGAGGGATCATCGCTTGCCTGGTGCTCGTTTGGTCCCAAAGGAAGTTTGGAAAATTATCTGGCAATTGGAGTTGCCTCCTAAAATTCGTCATTTCCTATGGTTATCGCTGCACAATGGCCTGCCAACTCGGGGTGCTCTTTTCAAAAGGCGATCATCCCCTTCCCTTACCTGTCCAATTTGTCTTTGCCAAGATGAATCTGTTGAGCATTTTTTCCTTCGTTGTCCATGGGTGGATGCTATTTGGTTTGGTGGTGCTCTTACTTATAAAGTTGATAGAGCTGGTATCCATTCGTGGGTGCTTTGGTTGCAGGCAGTCTTGTTAACCTGCTGGTTTATTTGGATTCGGTCTTATGTCGCTAAGGTTCTTTTTTACATGCGGTGAGGGACAAGTTTCACGGTGGATTCCTCCTAATTCTCCATTTTAAAAAATTAACGTGGATGCCAGCTGGTCCAAGGTGTCGAGGTTGGGTTTCGCGGGGGTGGTTATAAGGGCTGAGCGAGGTCTTTCTTGGCAGCCGCGAGGTATCCTCTTATGGCTCCTAATGTTGCAGCGGTTGAGGCTATGGCGCTGCTTCGTGGGTGTGAGCTGGGTGCCTGGCTAGGTGTTAACTCTGTCATTATCGAATCGGATTCTCTTGAAGCGATTTCTTGCCTAAGTGGTTCTCTTGAAAATGGCAGTTGGGAGGCTTACCCCACCTTGGCAAGGGTTAATAGGCTGAGTGGGGCTTTCTAGGACTGTCGCTGGTCTTGAGTGCCAAGATCAGCCAATATGGCGACGGATGCTCTTGCGTTGGCTGGTCTTACGGAGATGTGTGATTTTGTGTGGGTCGATAGGTCTCCATCTTTATTAGTTCATGTCTTATGTAAAGATGATGTTCCGTGTCCTCATTAGCTTAGCTGTGGTGGTGGTTGGGGTGACACTTTTACTTGGTTGAAGTGTCTGTTGGTTGTATCCCCCGTTCACTGCTTTGGTCTTGGTTGGTTTATCATGGTGTTTGCCTCGTGGTAGGTATTCTTGTACCTGTTTTAGCCCTAGAATGTGAATTCCCAGTTTTAAAATAAAATCAACCAAACTCCAATTCTTGCAATTTTATCAGTTAACTTAGAAATTCAAAAACAATAACCAAGAAGATATATTATATATATATATATATATATATATTTTTTTTTTTTTTTAATAAACACTGGGGTTTCTGCTTTAGTCAAGGCATTTCTCTTCATATATCTCTCAAGGCATTTTCTTTCAGTTGAAGTATTTGCTTCTCCTAAATGCAAGTAATGCAACTCAAAAGAAAGCACCTGACAACAACCTATCAAACTTTGCAATTAGCAGGTAATCAGAGGCTAATACTACTGTCAAGGTTTCCGGTTTTACCATGCACACTAGTCCATCAGGCCACCCGTTTGAGGCGCGTACTGTTACGCTGTTCTGGCGGTTTGATCTTGAAGGATACACGGGTGGTATCAGGTTTCTTCCCTTTCTCGGGCTCTCGTTGAACCTTGAAGGCAGCAAGTGGAACCGAGCATCTCCAATTCAGCTTATGCTTTTCCAGCTTCACTATCTCTTTTTCTATGTCCTTGTATGGGAATTCTGGCTCGAGGTTGTTGTCCTTGATACATTGAATCGCAGCCTTCAGACCAGCTATGTGGTCGTCTAGCACCTCATTCTGTGAGCACAAGTAAAGGCTTGAAACATGTACATTTACATCGAAAATGATCCCGAATTTAACTATTTAAGGAGCAGCAGCTATAGGATGTCCAAGGAAGATGTAATGTACCTTTTCATCAAGTGATCTTTTTACCAGCCATTTTGTGCAGTAAGACTTCCCTGCAACTTCCACGTATTCTTTTAAGAGTAACACCGGCGGGAACCTGTCAGTTAACTTGAAGGTGCAAATCAAGCTGACAGCTTCAATCAGTTGCTTCCTTTCAATAAAATCCTGAACAAAATCTGCAGCATGTAAAACAAAATTGACGGATTCATCAAACAGCTCCAGAGAATTTCCGTAAGGAGAATTGCAAATTATAACTACCTAAACTTAAAGAAGTCACCACTAGCAAATGCATTATCAAAAGAAAACATATTTGAGGTGGGAAAGAAATTTGAACGCAACCTAATTATGCAGGTAAAACGTAGGACGCAATCCTAACTTTGTTCCCAATTACTGGAACTCTCACCCGAGGAGAAGAGAACCATTCAGAAAAACTATCTATCAAACGAATCAAAAGACACTTGTATGTAAATTTTTCAGAGCTTCTGAACCACAGTAATAAAACTTTCGCCTTACAATATATAATACATCCACAAAGAAAATTCAGTCTAGCCTGTAAACATTCTCTTTCTAAACTTCATGTACATTTTCATGATAGCTTATACTGAATCATGAAGTTTTCCATCGATCATCTTCAAGCCATTGGCAAATATTCACCCAATTAAATCCCGAAGGCAGTGTAAAACAGCCAAAGCTATCACCCTAGCACAATGGACACATGAATGGCATCTAGCTAGGACACTCATAATTACAATCAGCTATAGCTGAAAATTTGTGAACAACCAAAAGAAACAGATAAGAGCAATGGTCCTGAACAAAACACCACACTATGAAAGTTGATTTTCAAGAAACTTACCAGGGATCATATCTGCAAAACCAATTTCCTGGCATGATTCCAAGGCCTTTTTATGCTGACAAATCGTCCCAAGAAGCTTTACAATCTCATCTCTGCTAAAGGTAGAAACCAATCCATATGTAACTATAAACTGCAAAAACCCCAAAATCTCCATTGAATTTTCAGAATCAACTCTCATTTTTGCTTTCCACTGGACTGCTAGCTCTTTTGCATTTTTTATCACATTTGGTCCAATAGGCATGGAGACATCCATTAGATCATTCAACAGGGAAATGCTATCCTCCATGACAGCAGATTCACAACCAACATCTCCTTTTCTCCAGCACTGAGCCAAAGATTCTTTTATCAACTTCAAAACAACTTCTCCTGGGTCCATTGACATTTGTAGATTAAAAAGCATTTTGGTCTGTACTGACTCGTTCTCACTTAAATGCTCATTTGTAGAGCCCTGCAGATTCCTTGCATCTGTGTTTGCATTCGGTTGAAAATCCAGAGAAGATAAAATTGCTACATTTATAACAGGTGAAAATTCTGGTTCCTCAATTTTGATAGGCAAATAAACGCTGTTACCTGCTGTGCAGTGGCAAGAAGAAAAAAAGAAAAAGATTACTTGCCGGGGTTGTGCTTTACTAAAGTGGTAAGCAGTAGGATTGGGGTATGGCATAGCCATTGTGTTTTGCATGTATCAGACACCAATGGTGTTATGTGCAAATTGGAGACAGCGGCTAACTAAAAGATCAAATTAGAAGAATTTGCAGAACTCCAATAACGAGATCTGGGATGAAGCGGTTCAAAGCAAGAGTATGTGCGGCACCAGATACCATCACTAAGATACTTACATGACAAATGAGAAGAGAACATGAAACAGCAGATGCGAAATCCTTAAATAACACAGTTACAAAATTGGGACGAATAGAACTGATTACGTTTTTTGAGGCCAGCAAAAAGGAGAAAGTATTTACTTGCAAAACTTTAAAGCCCTATCTTCTCTACATGATATAACAACTACATCTTCGATTAACTGAATAATCTGCAATTTTGAAATGAATAAACAGCTGACATAAATAGGACTGGAAAAGAGCTTACCAGGTGCCCTATCTGTGATACCAAGGGCCTGGCATAGCTCAGTTCCTTGCTCGTGCTGAGCCACTATACCAAGAAAACTCTGAAGCTCCTTCGAATCATAAACAGTTGTGATTTCATACACAGAAACAAGCTCCAGAAAACCCAAAATCTCCAATCCATTCTCGGTTGCCACAGTCATCTTAGCCTTCCATTCAGCCGCCAAAGCCCTTGCTTCTTTTCTCACCTGAGGAATGATTTGTAGTGAGAATCTCTTCAACTGCTGTAACAAAAGAATACAACTCCTCCTAATAACTGTCAAATCATAGACAAACTCAGTGGTGTCCAAGGTCCGATTTGAAGGGTAAAACCCTTGCATTGCATCCAAAACGAGCTTTGCTGGGTCAGATGATGCCTGAAGAACAGCTGCAATTTCACTACATACAAAATCGGTTCTCGTCCAGTGCTCATTCATGAGCAACTGCAAGCATCTGCCATCCCAGGAACAATTATTCTTCTCCTTGGATTTCAGATTTTGGATGTCTTCCTTGGATTTTTGCAGCAACTCAAATTGTTTTTGTTTTGATTCGAGCTCTCTGACCTGTTCTTCAAGCTGCCTCTCTTTCGTTTTAACTCCAAGGGAACCTTCTTGTAACAACTTCTCTTGTGAATCCAAAATTTGTCGGCGTTCTTGAATCGTCAAATCAAATTGTTTTTGTTTCGATTCAAGTTCTCTGACCTGTTCTTCAAGTCGCCCTTCTTTCATTTCGAGTCCATGGAAACCTTCTTGCAACAAATTTTCTTTTGAATCAAAATGCTTTTGGCGCTCTTGAACCATCAACTCAAATTGTTTTTGTTTCGATTCAAGCACTCTGACCTGTTCTTCAAGTTGCCTCTCCTTCATTTCGAGTCCATGGCAACCTTCTAGCAACAACTTTTCTTTTGAATCCAAATGCTTTTGGCACTCTTGAACCACCAACTCAAATTGTTTTTGTTTCAACTCCATTGCCCTGATGGTTTTCTCTTTAGATTCGAGTGTACTGTAACATTCCCTAATCGATTTCTCAAGGCCACCAAGTAACACCTTTTTCGATTGAATCTCCTTGTGACATTCTTCGAGAGATTTCTGCACCGCTTTAACCTGCTCTTGTTTCGAAACCAAATCTTTCACGGTCTCATCAATAGACCCCTTCATCGCATTTAATCGCCTTCCGTTCACTTCAGCGACCTCCTTCTTCACCTTCAGCTCCCTAGACTTCTCATCCAAACTTTTCACAACCGAATTCAATTTCTCCGTTTGCTCTTCGATATCATTTTTTATCAAATCACGTTCCCTCTCATTTCCCCTAACCAACTCCTCAATTTCCAACAACCATTTCTCCTTACCACCAACCTCCCTTCTTTTCTCTTTCGCCATTCTCTCGATTTCATACAATTCCTGAGCTTTGGACTCCAATTCCGATTGAAAGTTCAGAACTTTAACCCCCAACTCCTCCTCGCGCTTCTCAACCTCCTGCTGCTGGGTCCGGAGTGAGTTCCGCTCCGAGTCGAACCGTTCCTGAAGCTCTTCAAACTGGGTCTGGAGCAAGTCAATGTGGTCCAAAAGATGCTTCCACTGCATGACCAGATTCCTATGCTTCAACTCCGGTTCATCTGAACCGGACACCATAGTTTCCATCTTTGAAGTCCCTGCAACTTCTGCAGCAAAACAAAAAAAACATCGAAACCCTAAATTCTGCAATACTATGCCATATGAATATGGAGAAAGCAAAATGATAAAACCCTAATGTGCCATGGCGATCAGACAAGGTACATTTCCAATTTTCTCAGAAAAAAGCCCCTAGAACAGAGGAGGTGAGATGTTGAACCAGAATGCGAGGGAGAGAGCTACAATACGACACCGTGTCGACGTACCTAAGTCAGTTTCTCTACAATACGACGCCGTATCGGCAATGGCGGAAGCTTCAAGCTTTCTTCTTCAGCTCGACGTTCTCAGTAGCTCAGAGGCGAGAGCTCATGCAGAATCATTCTCTACAGGGCTCAGTGGGTTTATTAATTGTAAGATGCATCTGGGCTGTTGGTTTAGAGATGTGGTGAGTCAACGGATAGGATTGAGTCTAACCGGGTATGGCCATTAGGCCAATCAGAAACGAGCCTTGTTCCGTACCCGTGACTGCCACGTGTCTATCGTTTTCCCGCCTTAGCCTATGATCGGTCAAAATTGGAAGAAAATTTTATTTGTGGCATAAGTAATACACCACGTGTTTTAATATGAGTGATGATAAATTTTATTTTTTAAGTTAATAAATTTTTAGCCCACATATCTCACCATTTGTGTAGTGCCACGTGCTGTACCACTTCGTGTACCGGTCACATTGAAAAATCTCTCCAAAATTGGTCTTATGTTAGAAGGAAATGGGGATCCCAAGGAAATACAGTCTTCAGGGAAACAGATCCATATTTTGGTCATAATATAAGTGTAGTTACTTTAAAAAAAAAAAATTTAAATCACTTGTACTATGACACTTGGTATATCAAGCCGTGTTTCCAACACACTAAAAATTTCTCCAATATTTGATGGGACATCCAACCTGTTTAAATAAAAATTGATGAATAGTTATCTTTCTATGAAAAAATTTGATAAGTTTTTTCTTTAGGAGAAAATACTGAGGAAGTACGATATTCATTGCAACCATTTATGATTTATAATTCAAGAAGTTAAGAACGTTTATGACATATAACTCAAGAAGTTACAAGCATTTATCTCTACACCTGTAGTCATGTGTTTAATTCTCCCTCTTCCAATATAACTCGTACAGAAACAGAAAGAGGACATATTTTGAGTTATCAGCTGAAAGAGTTCGTAGTATGGTTGTCTTTTGCATAGAGAAAACAAAAACATATAATTTGGCATCAAAATAGGAAAGACACTTGTTTTGATTTGCTATCCAAATGGTAAAAATTTCTACGGTGCTTCGAAGTATCCTGTAATATGGACCATCCTGTACTGTGGGTTTAACCGTTAAAACTTGGTCGGTGTATTTTTGACCAATAATATTCTAACAGTTAAAAACTCCGTAGTATAAGATACCCAGAGCACCATAGAAAATACCCAAAATGCTTTGAACTTCAGTAGCAAGAATTTGGGCAACATCCTAAGCCATACACAGTAATGTTTTCTAAACATGCCAAGGACTCTACACTACAACAGTCAAAGGGAAGTAATGCAACCCACAAACAGAAAGCAGGCTGGCGACCTACTGAATTTGCGTCGTAGATACAATTACGTGTGACTCAAGGAAGATGTTATAACCGTATAAGGACGGTGTAAGCTAGAATCAAAACTGTACACTGGGGTTGAAAGTGGTTCATCGAAGTTAGCATGTGTGGAGGGTTCCCTGCTAGGTTTCACTAGGGCCAGAACCATGAGTGCTGGGAAAGAACTGATTAGAGTTACATAAACCGGCATCCTGCATAGCACTGAAATTACCACTAATCTCATGATCGTTGGAAGCCAAGGGAGGGAATCCAAAATTTTCAGCCGGCTGAGATGATGAACTGAACTGCTTGCGACCAAAATTAGCACCAATTTCATGGTCCATAGCAAACTGCAAAGGGTGTCCATAGTTTTCATACAGCTGAGACGACGAAGTCAACTGCATAGAACCAAAACTGCCACCAGTTTCATGGTGGTTGGCAGCCATACTAAACTGCCCAGGGTGTCCATTATTTCCAAAGAGCTGAGATGACGAATTTAACTGCAAACGGAAAGTTGTGCAGGATCTAGCAGCAGCTGCTACAGCTGTCGGATGACTTCTATTTTGACGTTTCTCTGGTGGTTGAAACTGGGGGGCAGAACTAGTACTGCATCTCTTCCTTCTTTCATGTACTTGTTGTTCACAAGTGGAGGCAATAGCCGTTGGCAAGCGTCTCAAATTCTCCTTCAGTCTTTCCAGCTGAACTATTTCCAATTCAATGTCCTTATAAGGGTATTCGGACTCAAGATTGAGATCCTTTATGCACCAAATGACACCCCTCAGATCAGCTATTAGGTTGTTTATTACATTATCCTGTGAGAAAAAATAAGCCTTGATAAATATATATATACAATAAGGAGTCCTTGGTTGAACCACTTAAGAAGAAGCGCTATTAGATGTCCAGAAGAAGTAAAGATACCTTTTCATAAATTGTTTTCTTTCCCTGTAATATTGCACGGAAAGACTTCCTTACATCCTCCACGTATTTACTTAAGAGTACCACTGGCGGGAACCTGTCAGTTAACTTGAAGGTGCAAATCAATCTAACAGCCTTAATCGGCTGTTTCCTTTCAATCAGATTCCAAATAAAACCTGCAAAACAAAATGGCAGGTTCGTCAAATGGCACGTTCGTCAAACTGCTCCTGATCAGTTTCACTGAAAAATGACAGTTTCACCACCCAAACTTGAAGTTACTGTTAGCAAAGCCATCAACAAGAAACACGATTTTTTAAGGCAGTAACCAACCCCAAGCTATCACCCAACACTATGGACACAGAAATGACATCTAAGGCATTCACAGTTACAAACATCTAGAGCCAAAATATAGTAAACTGTAGAGAAATGTAATGGAATACAAACATCACATACGAATGTCAATGGTCGAGAAACTTACCAGGGATCTTATCTGCAAAACTAAGTATCGGGCATAATTGTAGGACCGGTTTATTCTGACATATAATCCCAAGAAGCATCACAGTATCATCTACACTCAAGGTCGAAAGCAATCCATATGTATCCACAAATTGCAAAAAACCCAAAATCTCCAATGAATTTTCCTTATCTATTCTCATTTTTGCTTTCCACTGGACTGCTAGGCTTGTTGCCTCTTTTTTCACATCGAGGGCAACATTTGATGAGGTTTTCATCAGCTCATTCAACATGGGAATGTAGGTCTTCACGAGATTGTCTATGAAACCAACATTTCTATTGCTCCAGTACTGATGAAGAGATTTTTGCATCAAGTTCAAAACAATTTTTTCTCGGTCTACCGGCAGTCGTAAAACATCAAGCAATTCATTATTAGCTGAATCATTCCCACTTAAATGCTCATTTGAACGCCCCTGCGAATTCCTTGCATCTGTGGGGGCATTCGCATTTAGTTGAAGAATTGGAGAAGGAGAAGCAGCCGCATTTCTGACTGTTGAGGGTTCTGGTTCCTCAATTTTGATAGGGAGGGCGCTATCTGCTATGGAATTGCAAAAGGAAACAAATCCAGGCAGTGCACAGGTCAGTACACTAATAACTTTGAATAAAAGATATCTACAACATTATGTGGCATTTGTGCTTCTACTCAAGAGTTAACCAATAGGTGGCGGTGGGCATATCTTTTTGGTTCAAATTATACCGAGAAAAACTCATATAAATAAAAAAGTACCTAAACATAAATAAGAAAATGCTTCTTTTTCGTAGTTCAGATATCAGATGGTATTATGCGTAAATCAGAAAGGCACAGCCTAAAAGGCAAACTGAAGAGTATATGCCAAATTTGCACCACCAGCCAATATTAGAGAACGAGTAGCCTTCCCCAGAGTGTACCTAATTATTAGACTCTCATAATGTGTTCTACGCTGTTGAAAGCTAGATCCAAAGGAGGTGTGTGATGCATAGCTAAAAACATGCCAGTTACTATCCAAATGACTAAATAAACACCAGCTAATGCAGGGATCATTTCTACGCAGTGGCGGAGCCAAGATTATTTTTCAAGAAGCGTTAGCTATATATGGTAAATTGTATCTATATACGCAATGCAATCCTTATAAACATTCCAACTTTGATATCCCATCTGTTACTATTCCAAAATCAGAATCATAATGAGAATGCGAAACCTTCGCATATCATTCAAAAGTAACTTAGATATAAATATACGTTTAGTTGAGAAGAATATCCCTCGTATAGTTGCATATAACACACACGCACAATATGTTTTAGCTGAGAAGAAAATGCCAGTTCTTACCAGATGCCTTATGTGTCATGCCAAGGGCCTGGCGCAGTTGAGGTGCATGTTCTGGCTGAGAAACTAAAGCAAGAAGACTTTGAAGCTCTCTCGCATTATAAGTTGAGGTCAGTTCAAATGCCGTAAGAAGCCACAAAAGACCCAAAACCTCTAAGCTATTCTCAGCTACCACCGTCATCTTTTCCTTCCAGTCATTCGCCAACTTCATTGCTTCTTCTCTCACCAGAGGATTGATATGTGGTGTTAACCTCTTCAGCTCCTGTAGCAAAAGAACACAACTCCTTCTAATAACTATCAAATCATAATTAAGCCCCATGTTGTCCTCAGTCAAATTTGAAGGGTAAAACCCTTCCATTGCGTCCAAAACCAATTTTGCTGGGTCTGATGATGCTTGAAGAAAAGCTGACAATTCACTACTCAATGAATCAATTCTCTTCAAACTCTCCTTCATGAGTAACTGCAAGCCTTCACCATCCCTGTTGATGCTGGACTGATTACTTGTGGAAGAAGAAACAATGACACTGTTATCAGGGGTAGAATTTCGAATCGAAACAATATCTTGCTGTTTCAATTCAAGTTCTTTAGCCCGCTGCTCAAGCTGCCTCTCTTTTAATTCAAGATCATTGGAGCATTCTTGTAACGACTTTTCTTGTGAATCCAAATTCTTCTTTCCTTCTCGAATCAATTTTTCAAGTGAATCGAAATGTTGTTCTTTCAACTGAACCTCATTGAGGCATTCATTCACTCTCTTTTGAATGAAAGTAAGATCCTTAACTTTTGACTCAAATTCTCTCTCTTTCAGTTCGAGTTTAGTGGACCACTCCTCCATGGATTTCTTCAGCAAAGAAAAATCTTTCACTTTCAAATTCATTGCATCAATTATTTTCTCTCTCAATTCAATTTTCTTAGAGGATTCCTCAATCAATTTCCGAATCGAACTAAGTTTCTTCTCTTTATCCTTCATCTCTCTGTCACATTGATCAACCTTTCTTTCCGCCTCTTTAGCTTGCTTATTTTTCAAAGCAAATTCTTTCTTCCGCTCCTCAATTGATCCCCGAATCCCATTTAATCGCATCTTTCTAAACTCAATGTCCTCATCATACTTCTTTAACATTCGTAGAACCCCTTTCAATTTTTCCTCCTTCGACTCAACCAATTTTGACTTCTCTTCCACAGCTTCCTCATACCAGTTCAATTTACTTTTTCCACGTTCAATCCCTTTTTTGATAGAATCATACTCCCTCTCTTTCTCTCCAACCAATCTCTGAACTTCTTCCAGACGCTTCTCCTTAGCAGAAAGCTCCTCATTGTGCTCTTCAATCGATGACTGAAAGTCGCACAAGGAAGACTTGAGTGATTCAACCTCATTTGATTTCTCTTCAATCAACCTCTCAAGTCCATGCAATTCCTCGGATTTGGCTTTGACTTGGCTCCGCAAAACTCCACTTTGCTTCTCCTTATCCTGGACCTCTTGAAATAGACTGAGGATCTCGTCCCGCATAGAATCAACACAGTCCAAAAGGTCCTTAAATTGCAGGGCCACCTTTCTCTGCCGCAACTCTGATTCTTCCAAGTTTAAACCTTTCTCTTCCATTCTTACTCTCCTGCCCCTGTAAAAACCCCAACTTGTTAAGGCTACACGGCCACGGAGAACAGAGAGTTTGAAAAGCTCAAGCAAATAAAAAAGAAACATAAAAAACCTGGTTTCCCTGAAAAGCTCTCCCGCCATGGAAGGTACATTTTGTTGAATATGTGGCCAAATTGCATCTACTTTCCACTAATAGTAAAAGTTAGCAATGATGATGTTTGCTAGGGGAAGAAAAAATAAAGACTAGGAAGTAGCCTTCGTTTTTTCTTTTGGCATTTTTCAAGGAGGCAGATTGTCTGCCTCCTGTTGGGTGCCCCTTCCCATCCTCTCCTGTGGCTAAGCCACGTCAACATTTTACATTCCTATTGTTTTTTGTCTTATTATCTCTATATAAAAAAATCAATATAAAATGTTGACGTAGCTTAATTGTGACGATACAAAATAGGAGGGGATGGGAAGGGCACCCCAAATAGGAGGTCTGCCTCCATTTTTCAGAGGCAGCTGAAGCTGCTGTTGGTTTCATGTAGCAGCCGAAAGAAGTGTGAAAGCTGGCAGCAATTGCTGACTTTTGTTTGCAGCAGACAAGCTTCAGAAAAGAAGGAGAAAAATAAACATAAAAACCCTAGCTCTCCCGCCATGGAAGCTACATTTTCCCAAAACCCTAAAAACAGAGTAACAGGGGAGAGCAGAAAAAAGCATTGTGCTTGGTATCACTGCCATGGAAGGTACATTTCCCAAAACCCTAAAGAATAAAAACCCTAAAAGGACTGTTCATTTTCTCCAAACCCTAGAAATACTATTCATTTTCTCAGAAATTGAAAGGGAGAGAGGGATTCATTTGACATACCTTCGAGTTGGGTCTTTCAAACTTTTTCTTGCAGTGGATTTTGTGGGAAAATTAGGGCAAGCTTCTTCGTCTTCAACCTCCAGCCAGTGCCTGCAAGGTTTTTGTCACTTTTTTGAAGCTCTGTCTGTGTCTGGAGCTCAGGAGTTCAACATTTCTGAATCATGCAGATGATTCTATACAATATACAAATACTCAAAAGTTCATGTCTTTGAAATGACATTTGGGCAGGCTTTTAAAATTCGACACGTGTCCTGCATTTTCAAATTTTCCTTTGTTTGGTTTTTCTTAAAAAGTGAATTTACCATTTAACCAAGCAACCAAAGTTGTGAAAACATTTAAGGAATGCAGTCAAAGACCAGAAGCAACACAGTCGTTTTATGAGCCGCAGCCAGAAAAAAATTTCAGTGCGTTGAAAACATCATGCATTAAGTGGCATAATATAATTTATTTGAATTTTTTTATATTTTTTCCTAATTATATTATGAGCTTGTTTTTCAAATTACTGAAAGTATTTTTAGAAACAATTCTTAGTAAAAATATTAATAAATTCTAGAAAAATACTTAAAATATTTCCTGCATGAAGTACATAATTGATACTTCTTGTAAAAAGCACTTCAAGTGCTTTTGAAACTTAAAAATACTTTTTCTAAAAACGTTTTCAATCATTTTAAAAATACTTTCAAATGAGTCGTATAACACTTAAACTCTCGTAACAGTGGTCCTTAAGCAACAACTCCTACATGAATCGGAAAGAGTTTGTGCTTCATTCCACTACCATGTTCCCGTATTTTTGCCATTTAGAACAACTCCAGCGTTGGAGCCCTCCCCCCAGGCAATGCACTATTCAATCCACCTAATGAACAGTAACTGCCCTTAATGAACATTAAATAGCCCTGGCAATAGCATTTGCATCTCCACCGTTACACTTCAATAGCCCTGGCAATAGGCAATAAAATATTAGTATTTTTTTTATTTATAAAATAATACAAAATAATTTTAATTGTAATATCGGATAAGATTTTTAATCGTTCTCGTTGCGCCACGTGTCATTATCCGAAGTATTATTAAATAATACAAAATAATTATATTTGTAATTTCGGATAAGATTTTTAATCGTTCTCGTTACGCCACTTGTCATAAAATCCGAAAAGACAATTATTGGGGATGGATTTCCGATAAATTTTTTAATCGTACTCGTTATGCCACGTGTCATTATCCGAAAATACAATTATTGGTGATGGATTTCTGATAAGATTATTAACCAATTGTGTAAGGTAGATGATAATGAGAAGGTATTTATAGAAAAGTAAAAACAATTTTTTTCAGATTTTTTTTTTGAATTTTTTTACAATTTTTTTTAAATTTTTATTCAATTAATTAATCTCTGTTGTTGGATATAAAAAAATTTGAATTCCAACACTCCAGATTGTGCCACGTGTCACAACGGTAACTTTTCTTAATTTTAAAACTATTTTTTCTTTTATTTTTTTATTTATAAAGCATTTTAATATCCACCGTTGATCTCAGATCGAACAGTGGATATTAAATAAGACTTTTTTATTTTTTTTGACCGTTGAGATCGAACGGTCCAAATTAAATAACCGTTGAGATCTCACGGACCGTGGGAAGCCACGTGGCTTCCCAACAGTAACTGACAAAGTTTTTTTTTTTTTTTTTTCTGATTTTGTGTCAGCGACGTGCCCCCAATCGCGAGTGGAGTGCACGCGCCTGACACAAAAAAAATTTAATATTGCCTGACGTCAGCGTTGACGTCACATGGCCCTCAGGCTCTCGGGCTGGCAATTCCCCACGGGCCCGGAGCTCGGGCCTCCACCTTCGGTCGGGCTAGCCCACGCTGGAGCCCTCCCACGAGGCCTCGGGCCCTTGTTCTCTCCACAGTCCCCTAAGCTATAGCCCACGCTGGGCTTGCTCTTAGAGAAGGAGGGACCACAGAACCATGCAACTTGCCACGTGTCCAACTTTTTTGAACGAGACGTGTCCAACTTTTTTGTACTGGTCGTTCGTTGACTTGTTTTGACTTTGAATTAAGCGCTTAATCTCTTGTTTACTTTTTAATTTCAAAGTAATTTGAAAATGTTGTTGACAAATTAAAACGTCGATTTTGCTCAACCCATAGACAAAAATCTTTAAGCATCTACAAATTTTGGGCCCAAAACTCTTGTATTTTTTATAGTTGCAAGTTCGATAAAATTAATTTTATTTGTTAAAATAAAGGCCTAAATGGATTAATAATTTTCATGATGATAAAGTATTTGGAAGATACTTCCTGTAATTAAAAAAAATTAGGATTTAAGCTTCTGCGGTGAAGTGTATTAGGATTAGGCACAAAATTGAAAATTCCGTCAACTCTCCATTAATTGTTAGCATATGAGGCACACATGTGAGACTAAGAATATAAAGTTAACCTTACATGTAAGCCCCCCGTGCTAACAATTAACGAAGAGTTCTATTTTAGCCTAATATGTGTGGCTCACATGCTATTAATTAACAGAAAGTCGACGGAATTTTTAATTTTGAGTATAAATCCTAACAAACTTCACCATAGAGACTTAAATCCTAGTTTTTTTTTTTTTTAATCACATGAGCTATCTTTCAACTATCTTATCATCACGGGGACTAATAATTCAATTAAGCCTAAAATAAATATGTGTTACCCAATGAGTCCTAATCAAACAAAACGCGTGGTGCGGGCGTTCAAACCAAAAAACTTCTTATATTTGAAAGGTAATGTTAGGGAGACCAAAAATTTAAACTAAATTTGCAAACTCAATGATGTATAACTAATAGGAAATTAGGAAGTAAGCATGTTAATCAACACGTAAATAACAATCCAATCATCAACTGCATCATTTAGTTTGCAAATTTGGTTTAAAAATTTTGATCTCGCTAGCATTATCCTATTTGAAAACAGCTCTAACTATATCAACTTTGGACCAAAAAGGAAAAAAAAATGACAATATGTCAAAGGGTATCTACAATAGTAAGGTCAAATTAGGTTGCTTCGCCTAATAGCAGTAGTGCAACTTACAGAAAAGAGCGGGCTGCCAACCTACCAAAGTTGTGCCACCAAAAAAAAACCAGGAGGAAACGTTACGAGGAAGTTACCCGTAAGCAGCACTGTGATCTGGGACAGGTCAGAGTTACGCACCGGTCTTTTGTAGTAAGCATGTATAGCAGGTTCGTACTAGGTCTAATCAGGAACACAAGGACGAGGATTCGGGATGGCAGTAAAACCGGTACCAGCGTTAGCACCAATTTCATAGCTGTTGTCATCCCCACCGAACTGCCCACGGTGTCTATAGTTTTCATGCCACAAAGATGGCTTCCGATACCCTGGGCCGATTGATTCAGATGTCCGATGATACTTGCTTTGACGCTGTTGCTGTGGTTGAAACCTATGAGGCAAAGTGTTGGGTCTACGTTTCTGACCTCTTCTGTGTTGTTCTGGTTCAACCTTAGAGGGAACTGATCTTTTCTGCTCTTGTCCCTCAACAGTGGAAGCAAGAGGCTTTTCTGCCCCTTGTTCGACATTGGAGAACGGAGATTTTTTTTGCTCTTGCACCGCACCTGTGGAGGCAGCAGATTTTTTCTGCTCTTGTCCCTCAACTTTCTGACCACTTCTGTGGTGTTCTGGTTCAACCTTGGAGGGAACAGATATTTTCTGCTCCCGTCCCTCAACAATGAAAGCAAGGGGCATTGCTGCCCCTTGTTCGACATTGGAGGCAAGAGATTTGATCTGCTCTTGTCCCTCAACCCTAGAGAGAGATTTTTTTTGCTCTTGCCCCGCACCTTTGGAGGCAGCAGACTTTTTCTGCTCTTGTCCTTCAACCCTAGGGTCATGCGGCTTTTTCTGCTCTTGTCCCTCAACTTTGGAGGCAGGAGCTTTTTTCTGCTCTTGTTGTTCAACCTTGGAGACTGGAGAATTTTTCTGATTGTGTTGTTCAACCTTGGAGGGAGGAGATATCTTTGGACGTCTCCGATCCTCCTTTAGTTTTTCCAGAAAAGCTATTCGTGTTTCAATGAACCTGGAAGGGTACTCGAACTCGAGTTTGCAATCCTTGATACATTGAATCACAACTCTAAGATCAGCAATCTGGTTGTTTATACATTTATCCTGTGAACAAACGTAAAAAGTATGCGTCAGTATATGTGTATTTACATTGAAGATGGTACTATGTTTAACTATTTTTAAGGAAGAGATATTGGATGTCGAAAGAAGTTACAAGGTACCTTTACATCAAGTGATTTACTTCTCTTGCTATTTTGTATGCACAACCTCTTTGCATTCTCCACAAATTCTTTCAAGAGTGGTACTGGGTGGAACTTGTCAATTAACTTGAACGGGCAAATCAATCGAACAGCTTCAATTAGTTGCTTCTTTTCAATAAGATTCCAAATGAAATCTGCTACATATAAAACAGATTTGCAGGATTTATCAAACTGCTCTGAAGAAGTTTCAAACATCATAAAGAAGATAATGTTGAAGATTACATCTTGAGAAAGAAAGATTACAGAACATTGAGAATGCTTCGCTATTGACATTGAAGAAAAGGGACGAAGGGATGAAGTTCTTTCATGTGTAAAAGAAAATTCCTCGTTTTTAAATTTTTTTATCGACATAATTTCTTTTCTTTCTCTAATATTGTATTCAATTTCGTGCATGTTTTAATTGGAAAGAAATAAAAAAGACTCCTTCATCTATAAAGCATTAGATTATACACTTACCAGGGATCTTATCAGCTAAACCAAGTGTCTGACATGCTTCTAGCGCCTGCTTCTGCTGAGAAATCCTCCCAAGAAACACTAAAATCTCTCTATTAAACATAGAAAGCAGTCCATATGTAGCTATGAACTGCAAAAAACCCAAAAGTTCGAAGGCTTGGGTGCCTGCACCAATTTTCGATTTCCAGTGGACTGCTAGCTTTAGGGCATCTTTGTTAACATGAGGTCCAACATGTGGTTTAATTCTCATTAGCTTGTCGAGTAGTGAAATGCACTTCGACATGACAGTTTCTCTAAAACCAACATCTTCTACTGTGCAGTATTTAGCAAAAGAAGTTTGCATCACATCCATCACAAACTTTTCTGGATCTGACGACATTTGAAAAGTAGCCCAAATTTCATTCTGCAACAGACGATCCCTACTGAAAATCTCATTTAAAACCCCCTTCAAATGACTAGCATCTGTGGTGGCAGATTGTGGAAGATTTGGAGAAGAAAAGGTCCCTGCATTTTTTACCAGTAAAGATTCTGGTGTCTCAGTTTTGGCTGTGGTAAGAAACAAAGAAAATGCAGTAGGCATGTTAGAGAGTGAATAGTTCCAAATTTAACATATCGAATATATCTAGATCACTGTGTCCCGTTGTGCTTTGAGTCAATCGGTAAGGTGTGGTGGTCATAAGCTATCACTTAAAGATCCTATCAAAGCCAAAGTAAATAAGTTCAAGACAGGAGGTAGGAGAGAAGTGAATATAAGCTTTTTTTTTTCAAGCCGGAAAGAAGATTTGCTGAGAGAGCGGGTAAATGAAAATGAGCAGAACATATTTGATGATAACGAGGGAGAGTACCAAGACTGGCTAGAGTGATCGAGGCTTGTTTTGCAAATGTTAAGAGCATAAGATGGTATTATGGGCACATTTGAGACAAAGAAGGCCTAAAAGACCGATTTGGAAGTATATGTAAAATGTGCAATAAGAAGATCCAAGATGAAATGGTAACAAAAGAAGATGAGATATAAGAAGAGAACGAGATACACAACGTAGTTGTAACTTAGGGGCTGAGAATTTCTGAAGGGACTAATATACAATCCTGCTCTAAACGGCACAACTATAAGGCATGTCGAATTGAAACTTGCCCATTCTTATCATACCATTTTGGAGAGGATCGGAAGAGATAAGTTTCCTTAGCGAGAAATTCATCTTCAATGGACAACATGATCCCTTAAAAGGCACTGTTGCTGGTTTGCTGCTGATATAGAGTTCTACTTATTGACTTAACAGGGATGAGAAACATAATAGCAAATTAGAAATTCAGGTACAAATATGAACAAGAAAAAAGAGCTTACCGGGTGCCTTATCAGTGATACCAAGGGGCCAGGATAATTCAGTTGTGTGTTCATCCTTAGCAACGATCGCACAAAGACTTTGAATCGCATCATAAAACGAGGTGATTTCGTATGTACTAACAAACCGCAGAAAACCCAAAACCTCCAAGCAATTCTCCATCCTAGTCGTCATTTTAACCTTCCAATCACCTGCCAACTTAATTGCTTCTTCTTTCACCTCAGCGTTAATTTGGGGGGAGATACTCTTTAAAGTCTCCAACAAAAGGATACAACTCACTCTAGTAATGCTCAAATCATAACCACACCTGCTTTTGTCCGCTCTTGAATTTGAATGGTGCAACCCTTGCATAGAATCCAAAACCAGTTTTGCCGGGTCTGGGGATGCCTGAAGAACAGCTGAGATTTCACTACCCACTAGAACATAGTTCTTCAAATGCTCGTTTATTAACAACAGCAAGCCTCTACCATCCATATTGACGCTGGACTGGTTACTTGCGGGAGAAGGAACAACAGCATTGTTGGCAGGGATATGTTCTAATTGCTCAATTTTCACTTGAGAAAGAAGAATACTAGTATTTTCTTTCGCTTTCAGGTTTTGGGTGTGTTCCTCGCTGAATTTTTTTAACGAATCAAACTCTTTATGCTTCAATTCAAGCTCTTTGGCTCGGTCTTCAAGTTGCCTCTCTTTCAGTTTAAGTTTTTGGCTGCGTTCTTCAGAGAATTTTTTTATCGAATCAAATTCTTTATGCTTCAATTCAAGCTCTTTGGCTTGGTCATCAAGTTGCCTCTCTTTCAGTTCAAGGTTTTGGCCGCGTTCTTCAGTGAACTTTTTGATCGAATCAAATTCTTTCTGCTTCAACGAATGCTCTTTGGCCTGATCTTCAAGTTGCCTCTCTTTCAATTCCAGGTCTTTGGCGCGTTCGTCAGTGGATTTTTTGATCAAATCAAGTTCTTTCTGCTTCAATCTGAGCTCTTTGTCAAAGCCTTGAAGTTGGTTCTCTTTCTCCTTAAGTCCCTGTGAGAGAGATTCCAAATACTTTTCGCCTTCTTCTTTCGACTTTCTGAGTTCCCCAGCTTTTAACTCGACATTTCTCTCTTTCAATATAAGTTCCCTCTCTTTGAAATCAAGCTTACAGGACCACTCCTCCAACGATCTCTCACGCAAGCAAAAATCTTTATCTTTTTTCGAGTCTATTTCCCTAATCTTTGTCTCCCTTGATTCCACGGCATTCAAGCACTCCACTAACGATTTCTCTATCGCACTAAGTTTCTCCTTCTTCATTTTCAACTCCTTGTCACATTCTTCAACCGCCCTTTCCGCCTCCTTAATCCGCTCCTCTCTTAATTTCAACTCTTTGTCACACTCTTCAACCGCCTTTTGCGCCTCCTTAAATTTCTCTTCTTTCAAATCCAACTGCTCCTCTTGCACCTTAATCAACTTTTCCGCCTCCAAAATCTGCTCTCCTATCCAACTGAACTCCTCCTTGCGCTCCTCAATCGACCCGATAATCTCATTCAACTCCCTCTCCTTCAACTCAGTCTTCTCTACACACTTCTCCAACGCCTCTTCAAAACCCCGCACTTTCTCCGCCTTCAACTCAGTCAATTTCGACTTCTCGTCCACCATTCTCTCAACCCAATTCAACTTCTTCATCCGCTCCTTAACCCGTCTCTCAATCGAATCGCACTCCCTCTTCTTCTCCCCAACAAAACTCTCAACCTCCATCAACCTCTTTTCTTGCACCATAACCTCATTATTATGTTCCAGAATCAAAGACTGGAGAGAATACAAGTGGTTCTTACTCTGTATAACCTCCTCAGCCTTCTCGTCGATCAGACTCTGAATCCTACCCAACTCGTCCGCTTTCGATTCAACTTCCGAGTTGAACTTCATCTCCTTCGCCGCCAACTCCTCGTCCCGCACACGGACCACCGTCTCGCGGTGGGCGAGTTCCCGGAATCGCGACTCGAGCGAGTACCGAGTCGACTCAAAGTGCTCCTCCAGGTCCTTCCATTGCACGGCGAAGATAATAAGCGCTGTTGCCTGCGCGTGTATGCACTCGTACGCCTTGCTCAGACTCCTCTGCTTCGTCTCCGCCTCCTTCAATTCTGCCTCTATCTTCTCCATTGTCTCCGCCACCGCATAAACCTGAGCGAAACGGCGTCGTGGTGGCGGAGAAGCAAAGAAAACAAGAGCACAAGAAAATCGTCTGTGCTCAGAAACCCTAGAAAAAAAGAAAAGAAAAAAGAGGATTAGACCGTCGGGCTCTCTCTCCTCTCCTCTCGCTCTCTCTCTCTCTCTCTCTCTCAAACTGTGATAAAAAGCACGACAGCGTAGCGTTTAAATAGGCCGAGAGAAAACCGACTTTTGCTTCCGTACGCAAAGAGGAGTTGATTGAGTGGTGCGCCACGAAAGCATGCAGGTTGCCACGCGTGTGAATCTGGATGGTCGATACGTTTCCCAATTGGATTTGAATTGGAAAAGGAATCCTCTTTGGTTCCGTTTCTCCTACACCTTCAAAGAAATCTAGATTATTGAAATTTAATACAATAATTACAAACAGAGGTTTATTTTAAAAGTTATAATAACTTCTGATAAATTTCCTAATAAGTTTTTAACTGCTCTTATTAGTAATAATTCAGATTTAATGACGTATTTATTTACTTAAAATAATTAAGAATAGGTGTTGGAATCATTAACATGACATGATTACTTACTTGAAATTTGAAAAATAATAAAATTAAAATAATGCATGGGATCAAGAGGAGGAGGGTGCGACTAGGATGAAAAGTGATGACTTATATGAAAAAGGTTTACTGTCACTATGATATCGTGTTTAATAGAATAATAACATACATAAGCATTTTTTAACACATCTCATTGTTTTAATAAATTGAGACGCTATATGGTGATGAACCCATTTTATGTCAGTTGGTCTTCTGAGTGTGACGACTTAGCTTGTTGGTCTAAGGGTCCTTGGATAGATAGACGAGGAGCGTAGAACTTTTGGTTTTCATATTTTAACAATGAAAATAGATGTCACTGCCTAATCCAATTGCTACTAATTTAGTTTGAAATCACCTTTAGCTATAATCGAACTTAAGACTTTTCACTTACAGCTGAAGAAGAATACCACTATATCGTAGTACTAAATGGCAATAGATCATGTGATTTAGAAACAAGGTTCAAGTAAATCTTGTGGTCTCAACGTCTTGTATTAGGAATTTAGGATAAATACAATTTATGTTTGTCGACATTCTCCTACATTAGCACCCTCACAACACCAGTAGGTACAATCTTGTGATTTATCCCAGATGAATCTCAATTTGAAGGTTACAACGAAATTCCGAAATCAAAGTATAAATTCTTGTACATACGAGAAAGGAGAAGATTACAAATCTCGATGAGCTGATGAATTAAACCACAAGTTTTCCGAAAGTTCCTTGGACAAGCATTCATCAGGGCTTTATACGAACCACGAATGAACCTGTTCAACAATTTCAGCAAAAAGAATCGATCATTACTACAAGGAGGCCAGCAAACCAAGCAGATATAATCCTTTAGTTTAAGCCAACTTGCCAACGAATGGAATATATGTATGAAAGAAAATAGACACAGGTATTTATTGATGTCAAGTTGTAATAACGGAGCAAGCTGAAAGCAGCACGACGTAAAAAAACCAAAGGAGAAAACCATCCAAAACTCCAAATATTCAAGAGTTGAGGCTTTTGATGCTTTTAAAGGAGAAAACAAGTTTGCATGACAAGCTATTGAATCAACCAACACCATTTGTATTCCAAGAGTAAGGCAGTCAAAGTGAAACCCGTGATACACCAATGGCACGTTTACGTAACGGTAATGAAAATATGAGGAATTGAATTGAAGAGGAATTGAATTAAGGAGGAGTTGGAATGAGGAAAAGTCAGAATCGGATTCCTGTTGAAGCTGTTTACTTAAATGTTCTGGAATCGGAATAGAATTCCATAAAGCTGTTTACTAATTCAGCAGACTCGGAATATAAACTAGTATGATTACTAAAATGCCCTTGTCCCAAATCAAATATTTTATATACTTTAATAGGTTTATAAAGGATAGTCTTGGAAATAAAAAAAAGTAAGTGATAACATAAAAGGAACAAAAGTGTCATTCCGATTGCTCAAACAATCAGGAATTGAATTACCACCTATATCTAGGAAATCCAATTCCACCAATACAAGGAATTGAATTCCAAAATTTGTGTGGGCCCCACTGCTTTTTTGACTCCTCCATGTTTAGTAAACACCGAAGTACTCCGTAATCGGAATTCAATTCCACATTCTCATTCCGATTACGGATGCGTAAACACGTCCCAAGTGTTGATTCTCGGAAACAGAAACTTGAGCCCACGAGCAGAATATATAGGGCAGATTATGATTGATTTCGTCACATCTTATCCAGGAAATATGGAATTCTAAGCATGGCTGGACAACAAAATTCCCATCCTCTTACCGTCTACTACACTTCAAAGTAATATACTGCTCTCTAATTAAACATGAACCACCTAAAAAATAAGTCAAAAAAACACTAAAGCAATTATCATAGGTGACAATCATCATCTCTTGACTAGCGGGATACAGACGGACACTTATTCACTTGCCCAAAATTTCATAACTTAACCCACTTTTGGAAAGATTACAAAGAGTATATAGGCAGCTGACACTGCAAAGTGATGCTTAACATATAAGTGGATTGCAGAGGGTATAGATTCTATGGATGATTTACTCTGAAAACAATGAATTATCGCAGATATATCAAAATTTTCAATTTTACAGCTGAACGGGTTTATTATTGTTAAACAAAACGTCGTATACAGCATTGCTAGATGAATCTAAAATATGCACAGAAAGTGTATTCATAATTCTAAAGCACTAAACAGAGAACTACTTACACGCAGGAAGGTGGGACGGGTCAGCAGAAACGGCACAAGCAATCCCCAAGTTATGAAGAGCCCCTTTTATGACTCCACACGAGAAATGAAGATGCATGTTTGGTTCTTGTGCTGCCTTGTTTTCAGCCGCCTCAGCATTTTCTTGAGACAAGTCTCCATTCTCGGAAGGATCAAGTGACATGCGTGAAACCCAACGAAATCGATTATCTTGCAATACAAAAGTACCCTACAACACAAACACCGTCTTAGTCTTATCAAATTAACCTTAACAAAGAACCGATATAGAACCCCAATTCAATAAATGATTCTAAAAAATTACTCTATGATTTGTCTTTAAGTTGTCAATCTGCTTCTTGAAGAGCTCGGACCAGAAATCCTTGCAGATGAACTTAATTGCATCCAGATGATCAGTAAACCGAGGCCGCTCCATCGTGTACCTAACAAGTAAAATATAACCATAATCACACTCCTATTCCTACAATTTGATTAGGATTTACAATGAGCATTATTTTGTTTACTTTAAGTTACAAGCAGACCTAAAATAGCATAGGATTCAATGCCACATACATGTGCTTTCCTTTCCCACATTTTCCCAGCAACCAAACACTACCAAATCATGGGGAAAAAGAGAAAAAAAAAATGTCGAAATCAAACACTTCCAAATACTTTCCCACATTTCATCAGCAACGAAACACTCTACCAAATCAGTACAAACCAAAAAAGAGAAAAAATTTCGAAATCAAACACTTCGAATTACTTTCCCACATTTTCTCAGCAACCAAACACCCTACCAAATCATTACAAACGGAAAAAGAGAACAAATTTCGAAATCAAACACTTGGAATTAATTTCCCACATTTTCTAAGCAACCAAACACCCTACCAAATGATTAAAAACGGAAAAAAGAGAACAAATTTCGAAATCAAACACTTTGAAAACATGCATTTTCAGATCTAAAAACCCAAAATCTGTGAGATCAAACAAAGCCAATTCAATTACAACGAAATTAAGGAACAATTAGAGAGGGCGGGGTGGTTGGGATAGAGTGCGGGAAGGTGTACCGCTCGGAGAGCTGGTGGCCGACCTGGTAGCCAATAGCGTCGATCCTACTGGCGGCGAGCTCGGGCTTGTTGGCGTATAACCGATTGCAGTACATGGAGACCATCTCTGTTAGTAGACTATCCACGCAGCTCTCTGAGACCTCCCACCCCATCTCTCTCTCTCTCTCTCTCTCTCTCTCTCTCTTCTCTGATTTTTCCTTTCTAAATTAATTTTTATTTTCAGAAAAAGAAGAAAGAAAAATAGATTTTGAGAGTGGACTGTTGAGCCTTATAGAAATATGGGCATGTGGGTATGTGATAATTGGCCCATTGGGCGACCATACGACATTTTAATGGTGAATAAAAAATATAAATAATTTAGGGTTAAGTAGGATAACTATCGAATTTTAGGAGGTAATTTCAAATTGGTTCTAATCTTTTAAAACATTCTGAATAACTATTTAATGTTTAAAAAGTAAAGATTTGTTAGGTTCACTAACGTTAAGTGATGTTATGGACAATTATTAAAGCATGGTTTTACTCTGAAGTCGTCTATAAAGCTTTGAGTTTCCAAATCGACGCATTTTAGCTAAGCAAATTTATGGCTTAACTTGGTTGAAAGGAATTGGTTTGGTGAATCAAAGCTCCAAAGATGACGATTAATAGAGACTAACTTTAGTGTTTGTCTACCTCACCATTTAATGCTAGAAACATCATCAGTTAATGTTGGTAAAGTCATTAACGTCGGTGACCTAACAGATGTCTAATTTTTAAAACGTTAGATAGTTATGTAAAATGTTTTAAAAGTTGAGACTAATTTGAAATCACCCTAAAATCTTTTTGATCCTTCAGTAAGAGATCTTTGTTAAATTGATGGTATCAAATCATCCTTTCACCTTGCATTGGTTTCTTGAATTTTAATGGAGATTTTTCACAAATAGACCAAAATGATTGGCTGTAAACAATCTCAGAAACCACTTTTGTCAATTTAAATCTCAACAACCAAAATGAGATGTTTTGAAAATCTCACATGACACACCCCGATCGAGATCAGGGCATGCTGGCCGTCACGTGGAAGTGACGTAATCATGTGCATAGTGCGGAAGCTAATAAAATAATAATAGAAGAAGTACGAATAAATAAAAAAAAACTAGCATACATAAGGTAATAGAACAAGTGCTAGCGTAAGTGAGACACAAGTTCAGAGCAATAAGCCTAACGCAGTCCAAAGAAAACGACGAAACAACAGTACACTCGAAGGTGGCCCTACACTGGTGATCGTCTGTCAGAAATGCCGGGAAAGCCCTATGGGAAACCACCAAACCTGCTTGACCGCTAGAACCTGGAGGGGCGCAAAACAAAAAGCGTGAGTGGGCAAAAACAAAGCTTTTCGAAAACCATTTAACAAATAAGTTCTAACCCCTCGCCGTAAAACCTGTATACTTCCCAGAAAATAAACATACGTACGTATATATAGATATGCCAATTATGCTCAAGAATATGCCATGTCGGAACCTCAGGATGAAATGCAAGTGCTCAGGTATAAATCATATCAATAACATATAATCTGGCAGCCGGAGTCACCTAACGTGACCTGTACGGTTGCATCTAGAGCTCAAATCTTAATATCAAAAACTAAACCTGCACACGAGTCGGAACCACCTAAAGTGGTTTGTACGACAGGCCTAGGTGTAATACATATAAACGCTCTAATGCTACGATCACGTGAAGGCTGTGCGAATAATCGCGGGTCACCTACGAGTCGGAACCACCTAATGTGGTCTGTACGACAGGACTGTGCACCTAACTTGGATCCAAGCTGAGCGTATGGTGCGGGAGGTGAACATCACGTGAAGGACTGTGCCCTACTCTGGGCGGGAGCACTAACACCGGGGGTGCAGGTTATGAGCTCTCTAAACATCTCGAATCGCTACTGAATGTAAACATGAATAACACTTACCTGGCACTTACCTGTGCGTCCACAGCACCCAATATGTATAGGTATATATATATATATATATATATATATGCAACTAATAATACGACTAATGATGCACAACAACGATAATATAATGCATGGCATAAGGCAAATGACAATTCAAGTCAATATCTGGGAAAAATATAAGTATATAGGTATATACGGAAAACCAAAAGCCCACTCACTGGTAAGTGGAAGGGTCGTAGCCCCCCTGCCTCAAGTGACCACGCTCGTCCTCAGGGTACGTCTCACCTATATGCGAAATAACTATAAAAAGGTTAATTTTAAAGCACATAACCAAACTTTAGAAATAACTTCTCATACATTGCTCAATTGGGGTGTATGAATACACCAACGTGATCTACTCAACCTCAGGAACATCCTCATATTTTTAAAATAATTTTTCACCGCCGCACGCGCCCCCATGCGCTGGCCAAGGCACGGCCACACGCGCCGGCCACGCGCAGGCACGTGCCTGGCACGCTGACGGCGTCAATTGATGCCGTAGGGAATATTCCGTCAATTTTAACAGATTCCGTCAACGGCGTTAAGAATATTCCGTCATCTTCTCCGGCGAGCCTCCGGCGCCGGAAAATCGCGAAAACTTTAAACTTCGATATCTTCTTCGTTTTTCATCCAAATTTCACAAAATTTGTACCAAAATGAAGCTTAGAACTAGAGGAACACAATCATACCACTTTCAAGTGCTAAAAACCACGAAATCTCACCTGGAAAATCACCCTAACTCCGGCCAACTTCGAAACTCGTGATTCCGACGTCCAAATTCTTCAAACGAACCACCCCGAGCCTCCTAGAGACCTCACCAAGCTACCTACAAGCTTGAAATTCCCTAAAATGTGAGAAATCACGTGTGCATGAACAGTACCTCAAATCGGACATTGTGGATTTGACGTGAAAACGATGGTGTTCTTACCTGGAAATGGTATGGTTGGACTCCTACAAGCCTCACGAGCTCGAATATGGCCTTGGTTTCCTCGATCTGTGGAAGTTTAATGGGTTTTGGGTGTGTGTCCGTACGTATATGGTGAATGGGAAGGGAAATGAGGCTCGGGACAATCACAAGGAAAGGGACAGAAAGGTGTGGGGTGTGGGAGTGTGAGTGTGTGGCCCAAAACATGCCAACACAACACAAAAACAACCAATAAACGTAACGAAATCGAAGTAGGGGCAAAATAGTCTTTTCACGTGTACGTTGTAATATTTCTGGGACGGGCTGTCACATCACATATCATTTTGACTAAAAAAAAATAATTTTTTTTTCCTTCTAAAAACAAACGGATTTGTTTTTCCCAAACATAAATCACCACTGACTAAAATTTATAATCAAACCAATCACAATGACCAAAAAAATTGAAATCGTGGCACCAGAGAAATTTTTCATTACAAATTTCTATAAATTTCATCGAAGGCATCGATAGCGATCTATCAATCGTTATTTCCATAAATTTGCATATCAATATTTTAAACATTGTCAATATTCTTGTAGTTGAAATCAACTAATAATGTGACATCAACAACGAGCTCGTGAAGTGGTATGTTCAAGTATGTGGACCGCGGACAAATAAACATACAAGTATGTTAACAAAACACAATGTGAGAAAGACTTACAAGAGACAAAAACCAAAAGAGTCACCAAGAAAGTCAACTTGAGTATGAATTTCTCCATTTCTCATTTCTGAGAGTCGAAATATGTGATTAATAATGAAATTTCGAGTACAAGATGAAATTACGGAGATTGATGTACCCTTATTTATAGTAGGAGTACCATTATTTTCTAATTACCAAACATGGTAATGAGTCAAATGATTGGAAAACAAAATCTTCTAGATATGGTAAACTATAAAATATTTAAAATTCTATTTACCAAAATGCACATGAACTAATTTGGTAGCAAATAATGGTATGCTTTTTTCGTTTCTAAAATGAATTTTTTTCCCTTGAAAATATGGATGAAATCAAACAAATCCAATCCAAATAAAATAAAATTTTAAGGGAACATTTAAAGAGGCCATGGCATAAAAGGAAAAAGATTTTCATAATGCTCGAAACACGATTACATACGTTATATATAATTATACAAGTCAAAGAGTTGGTGGCCCATCGGAGAGTTGGTGGCCAACATCGTAGCCAATAGCGTGGATCCTACTGGCAGCAAGCTAAAGCTTGTTTGCATATAACCGATTGGAGTACATAGAGATCATGTCTAGGAAAATAACTTATATGACATCAGTTTATTGTTATTGTGACGTATCGACCCGATAGTACATTATTATACCAAGACACTATATGTCGACACACCGAATCACTCCATGTATTTAATATTTTTTCATTTTAAATTAATGATTAAACAAGCGATTAACATAGCATAAGACCACGATCATCAAATATAAACACCATTAGAGTAGGACACATAGTTTCCTTCAAAACACCATGCTTTCAAAACAAGGAGTACATAGAGATCATGTCTAGGAAAATAACTTATATAACACTAGTTTATTGTTATTGTGACGTCTCGGTCCAATAATGCATTATTACATCTAGACGCTATGTGTTGGCACACCGGACCGCTCCATGTATTTAATATTTTTTTCATTTTAAATTAATGATTAAACAAGCGATTTACATAATATAAGACCACGATCACCAAAATATAAACACCATTAGAGTAGCACATATAGTTCCTTCAAAACACCATGCTTTCAAAACAAGTACATAAGGCAAACCTTACAGAAAACTAAAAAACAGAGTATATCTCTACTGTGAGTAAATTTGGCTAGATTCTCCCCTCTATACCTCATCTGTACATTTATAACGGGGAAGACGGTTTCTTTTATACGTATCTATCTAACTGCCGTCGACGGTTCTAGCTTCATGCACATGTTTTTCAAGGGCGTAGACAGTATCCGAAAGCAACACTGATGATCGCCACCATACAAACAAATAGGAGAGGAAATCCGACATGGACTGTTTTCACATCCACACCTCTTCTACTCAGTCGTGCCTGCAATCATGAACAAGTCTTAATAAGTGCAAACACGAGTGTGCAGCGTTAAAGAGATTAGCATGTGTTCGAAAAACTTGCTGCAGTCCTTAGAAATCCTGACTCGTTTGCTAAACGAACGTTGTTTCTGAAATTTCCTTAATATAAATGTTGTAAATGCAATGCACCTGGCTCAAAATTTTATATTTTGTAAATGCAATGCAGCTGGGTTAAAATTTGAAAAGCGGCCACAACCATTTTCATGGTAAAATATGCGCAGTTGAAGAAAGAACAGTAGGATGAACATTACAACAAACCCGAAATAAAACTTGAAAAACAGTTCAAAACATTTGAGCTCAGATCATTTGACAGTGGGTTATCCAAGCCTTCCACGGGTAATAACCACACGACCAGATAATTCAGACTTCTGCGGATTCATCACTAGACAAACAAAAAGAGTTGCGAGAATATAAAAAAGGAAGGGGTGCGAGAAATGTACTAATTGCTCCTGCATAATTCTCGTTTCTTGAATGCTTGAACTCCTCTCCTCTGTTAGCTTTAAAATAGTAACTTCAGCCTGAAAAACAAAGAACAGAAACCTGGTTAATATTGCATTTTGAAAACTGTTCATGTAGTGTATAACCACTGAACAAATTCTTTGCATGATGTAGAGGAATACTGCTAGAGCCTAGAGGTCAGTTTGTACAAGCAACGCACGGACAAATAATAAGAACCACAATAATATCATATGTTTCGAAAGAAAATTCTGTTCAAGACCAAAACCTGGCTCAGCTTTAATTCAAGTGCATTTAGCTTTGATTTCATCTCTTGGATATCCTTAACTAACTCCAAATCTTCCACAATCTTTGTTGCATTCAACTCCACATCTTTTGCCAGTTTAAACTCCATAGCCTTCGGCGGTTTCAATTCCACATCCTTTGCTGATTTTAGCTCCACATCTATTACTTGTTTCAACTCCGCCTCTTTTTTTGGTTTCAACTCTGCCTCTTTTTCTGGTTTCACCTCCATATCTTTTTCTGGTTCCAATGCCTCATATTTTGCTGGCTTCAGCTCCACGTCTTTTGTTGATTTCAACTCAAAATCTTTTTCTGGTTTCAGCTCAACGTCTTTTTCTGGTTTCAACTCTACATCCTTTGACGGTTTCAACTCAGTTTTCGTTGATGGGTTTGGCTTCTCACTAGTAGCTGTGAACTTCACATCATTAGTAACCTGGTCCAAAATAAGAACCCAAAAATGAGATTCCGGAAGTGAATTTTGCACCGTGTACTTGAACCACAAACAGCATACCAAGAAAATATTCCAACTTCCTGAAAAAATTCTACTACGCTGAGTTTTCTGCACGCCCATGGGAGGGAAGGAAGGGAGGGGAGGGGGAGCGGGAGAGAGGAAGAGAATCAAACACTGCCAAATAGATTCTCTAACCTTGTTCAGCGGAGGGGGGATTTCAACTCCACCAAATTGATCTTTTAGAAATGAGTGTTCATGACCGAGCCCCTGCTTCAAGTCTACCTTCATTGGTGACAGCATTGGTGAGTTGGGTGGACTAACGAGGGTAACTCTTAGCTTTTTCTCTTCAATGTACTTGCCACCATCTTTAGAAAACTGTGAATGCAAAATATAAACTATGAGAAATCAATACAAAATCTCAAGACCAAAAATAACTACCAAGACTTTACCATGCTAGATGTAATATCCTCGTCAGTTGTCGCAGAAGAAACAATCGTGCTCTGGATTAAGAACTTATCTTTGCAATCCATATCTGTCATACTGGTTCGTGGTGCTTGCATCATAACTATGTTGACAAAATTTAAATGGTTATAACAAGACCCAGTAAAGAAGAAAACTATCAGAAAGTTATGCAATTTAAACCCAAAGAAATGATGTCATTACATTGTGATGAATCACATGCCAAAAAAATGATGCCTAAAGCATGTAAAAGCAACCCGAAAACCTTATAGTAGTAAATGTACTCTATCCACGAGGAGACAGCATGTATAAAAAATGTCAATGTACGGTTAATCTTTTTCTCCTGTCATCTTAAACCAAAAATTCAGAAGTGGAACTTAAGTGTCAAAGTTCATGCTTCTCTACATACCGACAAAGTAATATTTACATGAACAATCAAACATTAACACGTGCTTGAAATGTACCAAATGAAATACACGAAAAAGCATACCTGAAAACTCAGAAGTTGAATTCGGCAAGACAACACCAACATTTGGGCGCACACAGTATTTCTTAGGTGATGTAGTCTTAACCTGCGAATTTCATCACTAAATTACAACCCATCTAATATTTCATCATACTCAACCAAATGCACGTATGCTGTTTTCACTAATTTGAAAAACAAACAAATTGCAATATGCACCTTAAAAGCAACATAGTTGTCAGTCAGGTTGGTAAGCCGAATCGAGCATGAGCTTTGCTTCTTCAATTCAACTACGAGAAATATTTCGCCATCAGTTTACAATTTAAAAGCAATGGACAAACAAAACATAACATATCTAACAAGAACGTGAATCAATCTGTTCAGTGTTCATAGTTTCAAAATCGATCTTCTGTTCGGTACAAAAAATCTAGAAAAGATGTAAACTACATGATATCAGCAAAACCAGTAAGTCAGCAACACCAAAACGTTAAAAAATTTCAAATAACGATTATTGTAGCGATCGAATAAACACTAAATCAAAAAGAAAATGATTAGCATTGGTCATCAATCAATGACGAACTTACATAAGAACTTCAATTCCTTTGGCTGAATCTCTAACAGCTGCGTACTCATTGTTACTGCATAGCAATGAAACAATAAAAATATAATCAGAAATAAAAAATTCCTTCAGAGTCCACATATATGATAGTATATGTTAGCGACTAACCGGCTGTTTGGTTGCTGAGAAAATCTCAGAAACAAAAATTTACTAATCGATTACGAATATGATTCAAATTATCGAATCCTTGGGGTCCCAGCAGAATAATAATTAACGAAAAGTCACGAAAAAGTTTTGGAGCACTAGATCCCAAAACAAAAAGAAGAGATTCGCGATTCGCGATTCGCAATAAAGTTTGCCGCGGAAATCGAACTCAATCAAATTCCATTTTCCCGCACTCTGCTTTTTTTTTCCTTTTTTTTTCCTCAGCAACCAAACAGGACACAACACAGACCAGATAACAAATCAAGTACAAAATCACTAACACAGCGTTCAGAGAGAGAGTTGACTCGCTTCTCACTCACTCGGATCGTCAGAACGCGTTCACCGGGGATGGACTTCGGAAAACGACGACGTTTGGATCACAGAGAGAGAGGAGGAGGAGGGGAAGTTGCGGAAGCGTTTACCGAGGGAGAAACGGTGAGGAAGTAGAAAGGCCGCGTTTGGATGAATTATATAACATAATCGATGGAACAAGGATGGAAAGGTGATTTGGTGGAATCGATAAATCCAAGCAGGTGGTCAGTCGCTGGATTCTAGAGAGAGAGAGAGAGGGAGGGAGAGGAGAGAGAGAAGGGCGTGTTTGTGTGTGTGGTGGTCTGAAGTATTACGGTGGAAGCTTAATGATCTATTGACGGGGAGAAAGTGACGGGCAACCAACCCGAAAGTAGTATTCCTGCTGGCGAGCGTTAGTTGTACCCGCCGTTAGGACGGTGGGAAACTCCGTCTTGCTCTTACTGGGTCGGGTTCTACCGACTCCTGTTTTCGGTATTTTACCTCAATGGGTCGGGTTGAAATGAGGCGGGAGCCCAAACAAAGGAAAAACAGGCTCCGGGAAAAGTACACCAGATCCCTTCATTCAAATATTGACACCGTGGAATGTACGATCTGGCAAGTCCCTCCTCGCTAACCGCTCCTAGTTGGAAAAGAATCCTCCTGGGGATCTGGAAGATTCTGCGATCATGTCTGTTCTTCTACATTGTACGATCAGAAATCATTTGAAATTTAAAATTAAATATAAATAGTATCTAACGAAAACTGACTGCACTATATACGATGAACGGTCATAATCGCCGGATCCCCATGAAAAAGATTTGGCAAGAATCTTTTTTCCTCCTAGTTATTGAGATTCACTTTAAATTTTTGTGTTCGGAGCTGTGGAGCGAAAGATTTGGATTGCTCAATTTCAATCATACGCCTTTTATTGGCCCCACTAAAAATTCTAAAAAAATTGAACGGCTCGGATCTATTTATCTTTCTCTTCAACGATCAGAATTTCTTAGTCGGTAAAGCTTAGGGCATAGAGATTTGAAGTGGATCTCTTTCCTGCTATAGGCACGTCCAAACTACAACGAGTCTATTTTTTGGGGGTTTGCTTCTATAACTGCTTAAAGAGTTTTTTAGTAATTAAGAGCGTTTATAACATCTTCTTCTTTTAGTGTAAATAATATTGTTTGTTGAAAAAAAAAAAAAAAAAAAAAACGTTTATAACGCTTAAAGTATTTATATGTCATAAAAGCATTTTATCGGACATACAAGTATTTCCATGTGACCTCGTGTGATTGGTAAATTAATTCAAATATCAAAGCATCACATCCTTTGACAGTAGCTCATCGTGGCATTGGAATCATATCTCCAACTTAAAGACTTTTTGGGAAGACTATAAATATTCAAATTTTATGGACGAGAATTTCCGTCCAGTCGAATTGAACCAAATAAATACTGATTATATTGGGCTTTTGCATAAAATTAGCGAACAAAGTTGGGATGTGACAAGGTTCGATAGCTATAACATCAAGGTTAAAGTTCCTTAAAAGTTAAAACAAATATAAAGGTTAAGAAATGCTTGGAGGACTCTTTTAAAAGTATAATTTTTTATGAATTTTTTTGTCACTTTATGTCTTTAGCACAAAGTTTTATAATGTTAATATGAAAATTAACGTTAAACTGTGAGAAGACAGACAGTTCATAGAAAGATTCACTTTGAGAGGGTCCATTCAGCATTTCTCAAAACAGTTTTGGGAATGTTTTTGCTCCTCGCCTTAAGTGATAATGATGCTTACCACCCTATTTATAATCAATTGATAAGTTTAAATTTCAAGATTCGTGCGGTAAATAAACATAAATATCAAAATTTAAACTCATCCAAGACACAAATTTCAAAATTTAAACTTATCCAACTGTGGCAAATAGGATAGTGAGAATTACCACTACTTGAAGATGGTTAGCAAAAACGCTCCTAAAAGGTTTTCATAATTTTTTGGGAGAAGCTATTAATTTGGTCATGCAAAGGGAAGGCCAAGAAATTTTTGTTGCATATCCCATCCGAATTTCTTGCTCATCCAAAGTTAACCAAATTAAAAATTCAAGTTCAAATGATTCTATTTTAAATCAAAAATTCGAAAAAAAAATATACTACATAGTTTACGGCTCGTTTGAGAGTGGAAGCACATTGGTGCATGAGTGCTTTTGTAATAAGTAATTTTGCTAGGAAAAAGGTTTCAAATATTTACTCGAAAAGCATTTGGAAGTGGTTCAGGAAGAAACGTTTAAAATGTGCTTCCACAATTCAGAAATACTTTTAACTTTTAACACTTAATTTTTGGAATACACTTTTTGATGTTACAAAATGTCTCAAACAAGCTCAGTTTCTATATCACAAATTGATATTCATGAAGTAATATCGCTTATGTACCTTGGTACGGGTTTGATTTTCACAAATCCTCCTCTTTTTAGCAATTAAACGCGGTAACGTTGTTGTTTGTAAAAATTTAAAAAAAAAAAATTCAGAAGTTTAACAACCAACTTTTTCAGGCCCATTAAGTCGAAGTCATTTGTACCGTCGGTCCATGACGAGCCAGACGACCATTTCAACAGTCACTCTGTCTATTGGCTTCCCCGCTTCACCCTCTCTTGCCTTCTGTCACAGTACACGTGTCAACCACATAATCCTTCTCACCGCTCCATAAATACCAACCTGCCAACGACCTCTCTTCCCCAGTCTCCCGTCCTCGGTCCCGCCGTCTGAGTCTCTCCCCCTCCTCCCGTAATTTGATCTCGCCGGAGCTCTATCAATGGCCGCCGTCACCGGAGCTTCCTCGATCTCCCTCCTCCGCTCCGCCCCCCAACAGTTTCACCAAAATCTCGTAAACCCCATTTCTTCGGTTTCACTGTTAATTTACAATTTTGATCATTTTTAGTTTTTTTTATAGTTAATTTTTAATTTTAGTAACAATTAATCATGTTGGTATAGTTTTTGTCGATTATATAGCTTAATATTTTGTTGTGTTGGAATTATGTGATTTTACATATATACGATGCTTTTGGAATTATGTGATTTTACATATATAATTGTATTTTTGAAATTCTACCCAATTGCGCATGTTTTGATTGGTACTGATAAAAAATGCACGAACAATTTGAATTTTACTGAATTTTGTTGAATTATTCATTTTTGAACAGGCTTTATCCAGGACAAATGGTTTGAAGTCAGTTTCACTTGCTGGTTATGGAAGAAGCTCCCTTTCTTTCGGGTTGCAGCAACGCTCCTTGCGGCTTCGTGTTTCCTGCGCTGTATGTGTTTCTGTTTGAATTGTTCTTATTTTATGCTTAGATCTTTACACTTTGTATTTTTCATGGACAATAATTTGGTGTTTCGTCGGAAGTGTCAAAAGTTTCAGAGCTCGTTTGGATGTGCTTTTAAAATGACCGAAAACGCTTTGGGTGAAAATGTTTTTAGAATGAAATTTTAGTAAACATGCAAGTAAATCCTGAAAAAACATTTAAAGTGCTTCCTGGTGCTTCTTGCAGAAAGCACTTTAAATGCTTTTGAAACCCAAAATTTTTTTCTCTAAAAGCGCTTTCAGTCATTTTAAAAGTACATCCAAACGAGCCCTTAGTCTTCAAGTTCAAGGTTTGGTTTATGTGCACAATTCAATCCGAGCTTTATACTTGCAACGCAACAGAGTAAAGCTTGGTTTTGTAGTGAAACGTGAACATTCTTTTGTGAGAAAGCCGGCCTTTATTTGAAAAACGTAATAAGTTGACAGTCATCGTGTTGTTGTGAGTTGTAGTAATGCTAACTGTTTGCCATTGAGCAGGCCAAACCAGAAACAGTGGCAAAGGTGTCTAAGATAGTAAGGAAGCAACTTGCATTGCCAGATGACTCTGCTGTTACCGGCGAGTCAAAGTTTTCTGAACTTGGAGCTGATTCTCTCGATACGGTACATTCTATAATTGTTAATATGTTAACATGCTACTTGACACATTGTTTTTCCTGAATTTTGTCTTCCTATAAGCATGGTTTTGCTCTGTTTGTAAGCTAGAGATCAGCCGTTGATTCTTTTTTTTTCTTCCGGTTGTTGTTTATCTGCAAACTTGTTACATATAATTCTTAATCTCCCTTATAATGGATCTCTCTTCAACCGGAGTCGTTCTATCCTGTTCTTGTTGAAATATTTGACCTTTTTATAATTTCAAGTATTTTATTCCTAGGGAGTGAAGAATTAAGAGACCATCAGGATATTTTTTGGCATCAAACTTTAAACTTTTCTTGTTTTTCTATCCGCGTTAGTTACGTTTCCTGTAGTTACGTACATTGTCATATGTTGTACTTCCAACTTATTTTGATGTAAATCCACATCCAGGTTGAGATTGTGATGGGACTTGAGGAGGAATTCGGTATTAGTGTGGAAGAGGATAGCGCTCAGACCATTGCAACTGTGCAGGATGCCGCGGATCTTATTGAGAAGCTCATTGAGAAGAACAAGGCTTAGAAGCGATGGAAACAGAGTCGAGTAGTATTTTCATATCCTAGCCTGCTTTAGAGATAAGTACTTGGTAAACTGGTTTTGTACTCAGTCGTTTTGTGTTAATCCGAACCTTGTAGTTGAGTGGTTTTCTTATGAAGTTAAGAATTTTCGAGTTTGTGTTATGTTTTTCGATCCCCTTCTTTTGCTCAGTGGAATTCTGATCACTTGAAGAATAACCTTACAATGTCTGCTGACATATTTCAAGTGACATTCTAGGTAGAACAGTTCGCGGAAAAGGCAATTAAACTTATAACATCTTTGCTAGTTCTAAACTAGTCGTGGGCCCTGTTTGAAAATATTTCTTTTAGAAGCACTTATCCTCATAAGCGTTTTTAGTAAAAGCACTAATGCTAATCACATTGAAATGCAAGTGCTTCCAAATAGAATGGCATAACTAGTGTTTCTTCCAAAAAGCTGGATGCTATACTTTTGATAATATGAAAAGTTAAAAACGCTTAAAAGCACTAGTTTCTATTGGATTGAGATCTTCTCTGAATCTCAACACTCAAGAGCCCATATATTGAGAAATTTGGATTACATAATTTAAATTGAACGGTTTGAACACTCTGGAGCCCATAGATTGAGAAATTCAGACTATATGATTTAAGTTGAACGGTTTGAAATTTTTAGTCCGAGTGAGGTGGGCCAGTGTGATGCACTAATAGTGACTGCAAGATTTAAATTGAACGGTCCGAATTTCTTGATTCTTAGATTCCAGAGTATAAAATCCAGAGAAGACCTCAATCCGTTTCCGTTAATCATGTCATTGTATGAGTTGAAACAAAAGAGTT